TAAAATGAGGCAAGTGTCGCTCAATGAAGTGTGTGTTTTTTGTGACCTCCTTTCAATTGAAATTTCGTCGTATACACATTCCGGGCCCAGAGAGAGATTTAAAGAGAACTTTATAACATTTAATTGCCTTTCAGCTTACAGATGATCACAAACTATTCAGGACGATCTCGCATTTTTTTTATGCCACTGCCGCCCTGAGATGTTAATCGCTGATGTCATCTTGTTTTTATATAACTGAAAAGCTGCATCAAGGGGCAGCACAAGCCGTGCGAAGTACGTGTACTGTCTTTCGAAGACAACATTCTAAGATTTACGACACATTCAATTAGGTATTACTTGCCCATATATCATATCAGGTAATAAAGGTAGCAATGGCTTTCCATTATTCGTTCCAGATGTGACCGAAAGCAGTAGTACATGAGGACTTTGATTTTCAGGCCCAATTATGGTCAAAGAGAGAGTGTATATACTTGGCTGCACTTGTGCAATCTTGCAAAATGTTACGCTGGTGTGTTGTGAAGATCACAAGTTCTAGACGGTCCCCAAGGCTTTCCGGCGCGAGCGGGTATTGGTGCTTGAATGTTGGAGGTTTGTGGCTTGTTTGTGCCTTTGGAGTAATTCACTTAAGCTATCCCTTCCCGGAATGATAAAACCACACTGTTTTTTTACACGGACACAGCAAATAATTGAGAGTTATTATGAATGCGGGGGGGGTTAATTATGTTACTTCGTGCAAACATCTTCATAAGGGTTCGAGCCCTTTCAAAAATAAAGTTTCAGTAAACTCGGGGGTCGGCAGGATTATTTTCATTGTTTGACCGTTACTCTCAAGGGTGGGTATGAAAACCATGTTGAACTCGGGGAATTTAACCCCCACATAACACGGAAACAATGGCCTTCATGCACATTTGCCAATAGTTGGTGATGGTTTCAAGTCTTGTGCGGATTGTGGACCAAACGTGTCAAATAACACGTGTACCGAGGGTCCACACTCTTGTTGCCTGGTTACCAAACAGGTGGAAACTGACTAAATCTAATTTCCTGTGTGAAGGGGAAAGACTTTCGCCTCTTTCATTCCATGTGTCATTATCAAAGGTGTTATTCTTTTTTGCCAGCCAAAGCAGAACGAGTCACTTGTTGACACGACAGGCAAAGTGCGAATAACAACCTGCATTTTGTGGAGGGGCAAAGTCATAAGTGTTAGTGACACATTCAAGCGGACATTGCCGTCTTTAAATGTCTGTATTTCTTCTAGGACTTGTCATTCCTCTGGGCTTAAATTTGATGACAGGATTAATGATAGAGTTCCTTTTGCATTTCCTTTTTTAAATGTGCACCTGCCTTACCCATAGTCGGGGCTGTCAGAAGTCCAGCCCTTTCATTTAAAATTTAACAGTGCAACACAGATCGACAAACCCTTTAGCAAAAACGATATCAATAATTTGCGCGACATATTAATCACGGCAACAATCATTATACCAGGCAGTACATGTCTACACATACAGCGTGCAGTTATAAATGTACTTGAAAAAACAATCGTGCTTCGCTATCTGTTCTGGGAACAATCAATCGCGGGAATCTTGACTTGACAAAGTCCATTCACTTCGATCAATTTGAATGTTCAATAAGCTCGGGAATGTTTGAATTCAAGGCCAATTGATTCTACTTTCAAAGCCATCTTGTCACAGGCCCGAAAGGTCATTCGAAGTGCTGGCAAGGTAAACATCGGCAACTCTGATATCGGCCTCTTATGCAGGCTTCCCATTCTAAACGATCGTTGGTGTCCTCAACAAATATCCACAGCCCAACTGTCCCAAATCCTCCGATTTCAATATGATTTTACACACACCCTAAGGGATTAGAGTTGATCACATTAACTGACCTGCAGACTCAGTGCAACAAGATTCAACATGGAACAAAAGTTGAGATCGTGACGCGATTTGGTCTCCAGACATCAAGTGACATCCACAATCATCCCTTCCAACTTTCATTGGCCAAAATCTGGGCCTGAAATCTCAAAACCAAATTGTTGTCAGGTACACCAGTACATGAGCGGCCCTGGATAAAAGTTAGTGAGTTCATCGAACAACGCTCATTGTCCTGGGGCAAATTGTTGGGAATGCCGCAGCACTTAGGAAAATGTGCCCTCGTAGTCCTCGCCTTGCGCCCCGATGACCTTTGACATCAGGGACGCCCCCAAGGCCAAATCCCACGTCGTAAAACTCGGTGGGAAATCACACACAAAAATCAATCATTTTTGTGAGGTAAGAAAGGTCGGCGCTCCGTTATTTTCAGCCGTGACTTTCAGCAACGGTGTGGTGAGTTTTTCGGGGGGGGGGTCACGAATCCAGCTGTTACATGCTGTTTACAAAATATTGACGCCTTCCTTCGAAGAAATTCCTTCATACCATTCAAACGGCGGAGAAGCATTTCACGCAAGGGTCCATTTTAATTGTATTCTCTTAACTTTTGGGTGGTTGAAAAGCAGTGCGTGAGCTCATACCCAGGGCCTCTCGAGTCCCCGCACATTTTCGTAACAAAGACAGCGGGTCGTCAGGTCGCCACTCAACCCCGGCATTTTGTCGGACCTGGCCTTCCCAATCGCGGGTAACAGAGAGGCGGTCAGCATCAAAGGCCGTTAGCGTTGGATTCTGACAGGTCTTAACCACACGGGGGCCAAAATGATTGTCAACTTCAATTTTGAACAAGGAGTCGTTAAAAAGATTATTGGGGAGTTTTCGCTATAAAAAAGTTCAACGCCCGAGGTCCCATTTAATCTTGGCGATACAGGTAGAGGAGACATAGGCACAGAAAAACGAATAGAAATGAGAACCGACTGAAATCCGCAGAGTCGTGAGATACCACGTGATCATAATCATCGCACCCCACTGGCTGTCAAAACTTCCCTGTAATCAACCAAATTTCCAGGAAGAAAAACAGTCCAATCATAGTTGGTTCTATTTTAATTAAAAATTTCGATGCTCAATTGCAAGTAGACTTTGACATACTCCTCTTACCAATGAATGTCTATTTTCTGGTTGAAAGTGGAAGCGCTTATGTTTCTTACTGTAAACAAGATTTATGGCCCTCTTGTTAGCTTAAAGTTGAAATTGTGATGGTTGTGAACAGTGCCTTAAAGCTGTCCTCAAAGACAGCACTGTTACGTCAAAATTCACCACAATTCGGTGACAAACTTTTCAGTCGAGAATTAAGAAAAGAATTGTCGGAAATAACGGGTGGAGAAGAACTTGAGTTGTGCTATGCAAGGCCCATCCTTTCACACGCAGTTTCTGTAATTGGTGTGTGCAGTAACCATACACTGAGATGGTGTCTGCCGACTAAGATTTGTATCACCCCTTCGAGCACGTATTGTCACCAAGGATCAATATCAAACGACGACGGCCACGTTAGAGGAGGGTTGGGTTTGGCATTGGTATATAAGACAAAAGGCAAAATTGTGGCTACCGCGCAACCTGTCAAAAATGATCAAATCAATAATGGCGTCCCACAGCACGTGGCTTTTACTTTCAGAAGGCATGAAGGTTGCTTTCAGCTGAGAGATTCCTTACATTCGACGTCATACCTTACAACAGTCTTGTGGGTACAGTCCACAAATTCAAGCCCCGTTGAAAACAGTGTAAAATCAGCACTGTTCAGGGCCCAATAACATGCATACCAACATCCCTGAGATTTCTGAAACACAAATTAAGCTATTGTCTGATCCCTAATCTTTCAATTTCTTTTGAATTTTTTTGTGGGTTAATCAATCACGTTTTTAATTATTCCCACAAAACAAAATCACCTCCCCACCGAAAAGTGGTTTTTCCAAAGTCTGATGGCAGCCATTTTTCACTAATGACCATTTGTCAACCGTAGTTTTTAGGCATTTTGCTTTCATATGAAAGCTCAAAGACCCAAGGAGTTGATCCTGTCAACGTTTTACACAATTGCACCATGTTGGGGGCCAAACAGGTTTTTTTTCAAGATACTGTGGGGGCACTTTTAATGCTAATGAGCTGGCCAGAAATTCTCACTTGAATTAGTGGACTGCATCCCTGTGCTGTCCGCCATCGATTTATATTATGTCCAAATTGGGCCTTTCGTGGACGGCGCACAAACGTTTGTCGTTTGTTCATTTTACCGCAAGCACGCTTTAACGGCTGTTGTTCCAGCAAACAGTGTCTGCTTATGAAACGGCCCGAAATCAGATATGGAAAAAAAATTCGGGATAGATATCTACTGAAATTAGATGCCTGCGTGAGAGTTTTCCCATACAGGCATTCTCCGTGTTAAGTTATGTTCAGTGTCAAAACCTTTCCGGCCAGTCTTCACAAAGGTAAGGTCCATCGGTCCGTCTCCGTCATCGTGCGGTAAAATTGGCATGACTTGTTATGCTCGTTCGTCGTCACGTCCTTTATAATTTCGCCCCAACTAAAGTGGAGACGAGGTTCTTGTCGTAATGTGTCATAATGCGGAGGAATGTTCTGAAAATACTTCGTGGGTCCGAGGCTTATCACCCAGATGCTGTTGAGAGATCAAAGTTGTTGTTGTGGACTGACCTTTTCTATTTTTCTATTATGCAATTAAACAGCGATTGGAAAGCAGATCTGATTTTTTTTTAGCTAGGATAGCGGAACAGATCTCAGCCGTACTTTAAAAATGTGGTTAGAAATATGGACAGAAGAAACAAATTGGTTAGAATTCACATGCTGAAAATTAAAGCACGTGCACATGTTATTAGCAAAAGTAAACGATCACACATGTTATCCCCTTTTAACACTGGTATCAAGGTTAGCGAGGTTTCGACTCCATAATATTATTGAAGCTGCTATCTGAAGTTGAATCTGCCGAGATTCTTTTACAAGTTAAAGCGCAGTTGCTATTTTGAGGTAAAGAATGGTGCTGAATACAGTTTACAACTGTCACGGTAAGTGAGGTACTCGAGAGATTTTTGGGTTATCACATTGATCTGAATTACTATCCCTGCTTTGTTGATGCAGATCAGACAACCAGGACGATGAACCCGAAAACGATTCGGCCAAAGCGAGGTTGGACGCCATCTTGAGTCACAAATGGTCCTTTAATAAGGAGGCCGCAGAAGAAGCCAGGTGGGCGCCCCCCCTTTTTTTTTTTACTACAGCAGACATGCATATTCTTAAATTATGTATTTTTAAAAGGTCTATCAAACCAGACAAGTGATTGAGATAAATTTCTCAGTCCTTTACCTCTCTCTAACTCAATGACCAAGAAAACAACTTGAATAAATCGACGAAAAATCCGCAAACCAGCTGGCAAGTAAACAAACATCGAACTGGAGTCACAAAGCCATACAACTAAATGTTGTCCCATGGATGTCAGTGACCCGTACGACAGTGTTGAGCCCCCGAATCATTTTTCTGAAAGAAACAAATCTCTTGACTTTTCATTTTTTTTATCACATGTCTTTGGAAAAGTCAAGTGGAATCCATGAGCCTCGGGAGGCCTTTTTATTCCTGTTGACGACTGGGCCCCGTGGGACTCGGTGAAAAAAAACGAAAGAATTACGACAGCAGCACAATAAGCCCTCGGCAACAGCTAATCCTTAAGCAATGCAGGAAATCTGCATCATATATTATATTTGTGGCATGAACTGCATGATCACATGTACACAATTTGTTCCGTGCAAGCAAAACACGAGCGCAGCTGTCGACGTCGGTTAGACTCGATTCCAGCCTGATAGCCGGAACAACTTTCATTCAAAATGACGTCAGAGGATTTACTTTGTGCTTAATACGTTAATTACTCGTTTTCTGAGAGAGTGCAGCGCCGGACATGTTTTGATTTATAAGCAAAGTGAAAGTAATTGCCAAAGTTACCTCAGTTGACTTTAATTATTCTTGATTTGCTAGAAAAACAACATCAAATGTGATAGTCTTCAAATGACTTCATGCTGACACGATGCGTCAGAACAACCTCTGTTGACTGTTCGGTCCTTGTGCTTAATTGCTTTGAAATTTAATGGTTAAAAATAGAGTAGCTGCAATCCAGTCTTTTGGAATACAAACCTTCAAAATGCACCTCTGTGTCTCAGTTAACCTGATTTTCAACCCTTGTTTCCCTATTTCAAGGGGTATTATACCATCTTTGGGATTTTATGCTTAATGAGTTCTTCCATATTTATGAGCAAAACTGTGATGTCATCTCAGGAAGAAGCCTCAATGTTGCATTGGTTTGTACACAAAAAGTCCTGCATTTTTGTAGATTTTCCTGGACTCATTTTTCTCTTTTGTGCTGAATCTTTGTTGTTTATGTGCAGGGCAATATGAAAGCACCAATCCCTCTCTCAGAAATGTTTTCAGTTAGTAAATACGGTTGTTTCACAATAGTGCGCCTCCAAGAGTTTGCAACATGTTGACCCATCACTGTGCACGAAAGCCGTCGACCGAATGCGCGTTTAGAAAGGGTGGACAAATTTCACGCACTGTGATTGGTCAACGCGTTGCAAACTCTTGGAGGCGCACTATTGTAAATCGCCCGTATTCTGGGTTCAGAATGTTGAGTAGAAACACCTGACCATATCTTCCCTAGATGACTTCACAGCAACAGCGCCCTTAGTCGTCCGAGAGAGCATGGATAATTTTAATTGTTTTAATGCATGCCCTTTAAAATGCATTGAACCAAACTGGAAAGTAAAACAGTTTTCATACACTGGTGAAGAGTACAAAGTTAAAGAAAAATTACGTCTCAGAAAAATTCATTGCAGCTACACTTCGAAGACAACGAAGGCATGGTAGAAGACAATCCCAACAACCGAATAGCATTATTCGAAATTTTCAATTTTGCCTTTTTTTCATTTAGAAAAGACATGAAACAGTACTTCAATCCTTTTGATGTCATCACCATGACATCGGATGACGTGGCTACTGGGCGGCTGAGGCGCTTCTACCTGTCCAAGAAGCTGAACGTCAACGTCGTGCCGCCGGGCCTACACCGACTCCTACCCAAGCGATTGCTGTTCCGCAACCAGCACTACAGGAAATGCTCCCTGGTCGGCAACAGCGGCGTGCTACGGAACAGCAGCTGCGGCCGTCAGATAGACTCGTCCAATTTCGTCGTCAGGTGCAATTTCGCCACGCTCAAAGGCTACGAGAAGGACGTAGGCACCCGCACGGACGTCGTGACCTTTAACCCCAGCATCATAGAGAAATACCACAAACTGTCCACCAAGGCAGACATGGCAAGATTCGAGAGTGACCTGCGGAAGTACCACGAGAAATACGTCTTGTGGGTACCAGTCTTTAATCGTCCCTACGTCACGGTTGCCTTGAGAACTTTGTTGGATTTTTTCGACAAGCATCTGGGGAGTAGCAAGAACATTCAGCTTGCGTTTCCAGGAAATGTACTTCCGGATATATCAGAGTACGTCAATAAAATAAATAAAATGCAACAAAATTGCAATTAGAATTATTCAATAAGCCGATCACTCATCTTGGTTTTCTAATTTCTCGTGCCATTGTAGAGTGTTTTGGTTTTAATCATTTCAGTTCGCGCTTTGTGATTAAACAACAGAAAAGGCGATGAAAATCAGATTATAGTTTGCAAAAGCTGTATGCGGGGATTGCTCATTACCTTCGGCCGTAAGTTAGCCTGTACAAAGTTGATCTGCCAAAATATGACACACATATCTCTAGTAATCGATTGCAAACAACGTCTATCTAGATATTTAATACCAATTGTGACAAATGCCATGACGCATCTCGGTTTTCAGGAAGCGTCTGTTTACCGTCTGTTAATTTTCGGAAGTCTTGGGTACTTAAAAACTGTTAACACGCAGTTCTTTAGTGTACGATTCATGAAAGTGTTTTTTTCTGTTCTCAGTTACTGGGCATCAAAGGGCATCGACGAGGAGCGAATCAGCACTGGCCTGCTGATGTACAACATGGCCAGCGCCCTCTGCGACGAGATTCACATGTACGGGTTCTACCCCTTCCCAGACTTCAAGGGGAGGCCTATTCCCTACCACTACGACCACCCACTCGATCGTGTGGGGAGAAAGTTCGACTACGGTTACCGGCGATTCCACGCGCTCCCCGACGAGTTCGTGTACCTAAAGAAACTCCACAGGGCCGGGGTCGTGCAGCTGCACCTAGGGGAATGTCCCAATGCATATTCATGAGAACTGCTCTAACGTCATCCACACTGAAAGTGTGTATGGGTGATTTCTGAAGCACCAAATTGTTGATGGATACTTGGTACCTGGTTGAAATCTGCACTTCTATGAGGGCAATTGACTAACCCTTATTATTTAGAACAGCGTTTAACGCCTCTGTCCACCTAGGGAAAGAGCTCAGAAAGAATGGGAAGACTTTTCCCACATAGAATTTTCCAAATCGCTGTGCCTTTCACCCAAAGTGCGTTCGTTGCTTTTACGTATTGGCTTCAGAGATCGTGATTACAGGAACAAACAAAACTAGTTTGTTGGTGAACAACTTGTTATTAGTAATCTGAAATCATTTATTGTATTAAAATAGCGAAGAATTTAAACGGGACAATACTATTCCATCGCTTTTCCCAACTAAAAGTTGTTTCCCAATTTTAAAATAGAGCTTACACTTGTCTTGCTAATTTTCACTCGTGCAATAGATAGTTGTAAGGCGCTTTAAACTGAATACCGTTGAACGCAGTGAGGTGAAATGAGCTGGCTCAACCTTCATCGTGCTGCGTATTTCTGAAATTTCTCCGCAATTAATTCCAGTTAATGCCAATTCTAAGAAATGCTTATTTTGTTTTAGATTGTTCTATCACAATGGTTTCTCTCTGTAACTCTAATCTGACTACATGGAGAAAAATTGTAGATTTTTTTTCAGCGCGTGGACATTCTTAGTGACATTGTTGGGGACCAGTCACAAATGTGACTTTTCGTGCTGTTTTGGCAGGTAACCGGAGCATGTTTTGATTTGTGTTCGAAGTACATATACACACAGCAGTTCTATGCAAAAAAAACCCCCAAAACAACCAAAAAAATTATGAAAAGGAACAGTGCCGATGTGCACAGATCGCACATACAGTTGACGTGAAATTGACTTAACATATCCAGTGTTCAGCATTTTGCATCGTTTGCATGGTTAACGACCCCGCAATTGTGTTGTTAATCTGCTTTGGGTAATTTTCAAATGTACTTAGGCATTCGTAGAATGTCATGTCCCTGGTTTACTTTGCAAAAGGGCGCCATGTTCAGCAAAGTTGACGTGTGGAAGCGTGTGTTTTTATCACACAACTGTCTGGGCATACACCATGTACTTCCCTGTGGGATACGGTTCTTGAGAGGAGACTAGTAAGTTTTCATGCATTATGGAAGCTTTCCCTTTTGAAATGTCGGCCTTTGAAGAAAAAAAAGATCCTCCAGAGCCACGATTACATCCTTTATTCAAGTCGGGTGCCCCCAGCGTGTTGTGTAAAAAGTAATATTGCTTCCGGGAATTTGAGCCTAGAGGTGTTCCGGGTCAAGGGGTTGTAGAAAATGTGTCAAGCTATCAACAGGAGAGAGCATAATGCTGACCGAAAAAGATATGGACAGATTGAGGTATGCATTGCCCACTCTTCTTACGAATGTTATCACATCCGGGGTCAAGCATGCCAAACACTCCATACGGATTATGTTTTGGAACAAAAACAACCCTTTGAGTGAAATACAAACTTGTTCCAAAGGGACCGTAATCGTAAATGAAAATGAGCATTTTGTTCTGCATGTATTTACTTTCAGTTAAACGCACAAAGTAAATTTCAGAAATGTTTAGTAAGCAAGTAATCAGTACTTGAAAGGTGACCACTTGTCAGGTTTGAGTCACGGCAGGAATAAAATTCCTATTGTAGCCTTTTGGAGTCGCTTTTTAACTGTAACCAACTAAAACGAAAAGTCATTCAAATGCTTTAAATACGAATGTCACCTGATAGGCTTATAAAGGAATCATTCAACTTCTGAATACTGCAATGCTTGACTATTGACCAAAGTAAATCAACTCAGGCTGCATGCACATTAAGAGCTCCCTGTTACACAGATACCCTCAGGGTTGCCAATTCACACAATAAGGGCCTACGTATACCCAGAATTGTGTTCAGCACCGCAGCTAGGTGCTCTCTCACGTTCATTTCGGCCCAGCAACATCCCCCGGTTTTTTGCATTATATTAACGAATGTCACTATATCTAATGTACCATAAAGTGTAACAGTTCTCATGGGAATGAATACTGTATACACTAATGCCAAACTTACAACCTGTGTTTTTCTCTATACAGTCCTGTCTAGTGTTAGATTTCCGAAATAAGAAACAAAAATGTACGACCCCAACCAGTTCAGCATAACTTCCAACAGTGACTCTCTTTCAGATGAAGCTAATGTGTTCAATTCCTTGCGAAAGAGAAATACTTTAATTTGCAGAATTCCAAAAATTTCGCACATTTTTACATGGTGTCACTTATCCCGTCATAAAAATTAGTCGTCAATCTGACAGTGATAAATGATTGTCTCACCTGCGTTTTCCAAAGTCCAGGGCGAATTCACTTTCCTAACGTCAGTTAACAACCTCTAGGCCTACAATGGGGTGCGGTACTGTTATCTAAAAACTGGCGTTTCCCAAGGCACTATGGTTAAGGATTCAATCCTTCCTGGATCGTAAGAGATTTAACTAAAAGCCAGAACTCAACATTCTTTAGGCGACCCCGAACAAAGCACAGATTCAAACCATTTGAACAACCGTTAAAAAGAACAAGGCCCTTCGGGTCGCATGTTGTAAACGGCTTTGCGTGGATTTGGAAACAATGGTTGGAATCTTTCTGAACAATATAAAACGAGAAAAGCGGAATTTGACAAAACCTAATCTGACAAAATCGTATACTTTCAAACTAGTACGCCTATATGTCTCTGTCTAGACAAGAAAATGTGTCCGAAGTGCGAACTATAATTGAAAGAGGTTTCAGAGATTTAGTTGACAATAACGAGGACCTCTTTGTTTGCCCTGCCACTTGCAATAACCAATTCTGACTTCTGTAAGTTTCAAAATAAATTTTCCTGTAATCACACAGTCGATGCGTTTCTGAAAAAAATGCAAATAAGCTTACAAACAACTTAGTTTAAGGGTAGCTGCAATCAATAAAAAAAACCCCCTCCAAATTACACCTCTGTGTCTCAGTTAACCTTATTTTCAACTTTTCAAAGGGCATATGCTCAATGAGTTCTTCCATATTCATAAGCAAAACTGTGACGCCACCTTAGGAAGAAGCCTCAGTGTTACATCAGTTTGCACACAAAAAAGGTCCGCATTTTTGTAGATTTTTCCTGGACTCAGTTTCTCTTCTTTGTTGATTCATTGTTGTTCATGTGCATTGCAATAGGAAACCAACAATCCCTTTCTCAGAAACATTTTCAGTGAGTAAATTCTGGGTTCACGATTTGAACAGAAACGCCTAGTTCCTATACACAAGCCATGTCTTCTCCTGATGACATCACAGCAACAGCGCCCTCAGTTGTCTGGGAAAGTATGGCTGACTTGAATCGTTTAAAGTATGCATTTCCAGTGCATTTAACAAAATAGGAAAGTGAAAGAGTTTTCATACATTGAAGAAGAATGAAGAAAAGTAGTGCCTACGAAAAATTTATTGAAGCTTCACTTCAGTAAAAATGATTGCTACATGTGTCCTTCAAGATTCCATGTTTACGGGAACATGAACGTTGGTCTATTGCACTTCGAAATAATACACACTTCCTGTTTTGAAGCGTAAGCTTTCAGCGTCCAAGACTTCGCTGCAGAGTTCGCACGCGTCCTCCTTCCCAGAGGCCGCAAAGGAGAAGCTTCGACAGTTACCCTGGACCAAACACTTCCGCGCACAGTGGATTCTGTCCTCGGCGGCGGAGGTGTAGAGGGTAGTCACATTGCTGCATGTTGCGTCCGAGGACCTGAAGGCAAACCGTCCAAATCCAGTGACCGGACCAGAAACTGATGTTTAAAAACAAGATGGCAGATTTCATTAAGTAATTGATTGGTCTCTGAGGAGCGATTTCCAAGCAACAAACAACTATGAAGTGCATGTGCTGCGGTCACGTAGATAGCAACAAAAAAAGAACACTCCACACCAACAAGGCTCTTTTCAACCTATGGGGGGGGGTTCTTCTGCCAAAAAGCGGATACACCTTCATCCATTACACATATATTCATGTGTTATTTGTGGCCATAGCCAAACAATAATATTTTGAAGCTTGCTCGGACTCTGATTCTAGGTCAGTAGTCTTTTATAGCCTCGCATTCATCGTTGAGGGCGCCAGCTGTGGGGCGGCTGCCCCAAAATGGTCAAAATCAGACAACTGAGCAAAGCAGAGAGGATCCAAATCGTCAATAGTAATCGTGGAGATTCAGAAACTTGAACAACTCCACAGTCTTTTCTTTCACTTGAAATTAAGCACAAAGAAATTTTTGAAGTCTCACCTGAGGACGGTTCTTGTGTAACGCCCTCAATAGTCGGTTGTGATCTCGCAGCTGTCGTTGGGGGAGTCGGCGTGGTTCCTGCTCAGAAAGTAATGTTTAAAATTCGAATTGATCTGTACAAAGATATACATTTCACTATCCCATAAAGTGTAGCGACGCCGGAAGCGGTTCAAAAGGGCCCCCTCTATCGGTGTTAAACGGAGGGAGAGATCAGATTCTTGTCGATGTATTACAACATGTACTGTGAGGGTTTTACATTACAGTACCAGTTTTTATTTTACTAAATAAATCTGAATTTTTCAACAGTGAGAATTTGGAACCACTGCATAAGAAAAATAAGGAGACTCCACTAAATTCTCCAACACCATATTAAAACCCTCTCATCTCTGGCCACCCAAGGCCGTCTAGTGTTCCCGTAAGGTTAAGGCACTGTTAACAACAAGGGTCTTGGTTTCACATCTTAATTGCAACGCAAGCTGTATAAAAAAGCGTGTACGTTTCGTGCGAGCAATTAGAAGTTATGGAAATACGATAACGGTGGGTCCTTGAGAAAGCGAGTTCTACTTTACGAAAGCTTGAAGAAATTGCCTCATGTGGAGCCAAAAAGAAGAAAAAGTGACCGCCATACATCAAGTGGGATGGAGGGGGTACACAGGGCAAAATAGGGCAATGGAAATTAGATCATTGTCTATTCTTTCATCCATAAAAGAATCCTCAGCACCCAAAGAGAGGTTAAAAAAAAGACATTTAGGGCGCGTACAGGTTAATCTGCAGTTTCAAATCTGGACCTACCTATTCGTGATGGGGTGGTAGCGCCCTCTGTTGTTTGATACCGATTCGTACTTGCGTCAGTCTTCGGTTTGGGCGTGGTAACTGCATTAACCTCACTCGTGCCCAGAGTATAAGCATTTCCTGTCAGGCAAAAGTGTTGTAGAATCATACTTTTCCCCAGAATGTCAGATTAAAAGGTCACTTTGTACCTACACATAGCTGATGAAATGGTTCTTACGATTCTTGCAGGAGACAAAGTACTGGGATTCGCAGACGACATCTTTGAACTTCCCGCTTCGGCTCTGTTGGAAGACGGCGCAGTTCTCACTCAGACCGCCGTCTGGTTGGTTGGTACCCGATGAGTCCCATCTTTCGTAGACTGGACCCGTTAGTTCGGGGTCCAGGTACGCCCACGTGCCTTCTGATACTTGATCGTTCTGACCGATCCAGTAGCCATCGTTCGATCTGTGAGATCGTTTGCCAAATCAACACATTTCCGATTAATAAAGGACGAAGAAGGCGTACGTTATTTGTTCCATTTCAAGCAATTATGCTCAAAATCGGGAATGTTTCACCACTGTTTGTCCAATTATGGTCTAAATTAATTACATGTAACTGATGCTAAGTTTCCGTTGGAATGATTTCTCATCGTTTGGTCGATATAGTCTCAATGGCCATTTATTTGCTAAATGTTCCAACACAAATTTGGTGTTACCCTGGGTTAAAGGGAAGTTTGTAACTGATTAACTTTAGTACCCTTTACTCAAAACAACTTATGGCAGTGACTATCCAGAACAAATACTACGCGACCACATATCCCCCCTTAATTTTTCTTACATCCGTATTAAAAGTTCAAAACGCGATGCCACGTGAAATACCAAACTGTCGAAACGCTCGAACGTTTGTAACCTCATCACGAATAATGCTAATCATGAGCGAAGAGATATCATATTGGGAAAACCCTACCCGAACAAGCGACTGTTAACCGTCACCAACGCCAGAAGATCAGCGTCATCCTCGATATCAGGGATATTCCATCCGGCTCCGTACTCCTGGCAAACTTTCTGCGCCTCTTCCCACGTCACCCTCTGGTTGGTCAGGGCGTAGCACACACCGGGTTTACCCTCGTCTCCAAAAGCGTTTTCGTTATACCTCTGGCAAGCTTTGGTGGTGAGGATCAATTAAAGGAAAACTAAGGCTGCATCCGAATCTCTTGTCTAGAGTTAAGTCTAGGTCTTCAGTCCATTGGAAATGCGTGGAGACACGTAGACAATAGACCTAGCCGTAGCTCTGGAAGCCCGTTTCGGACACGGCCTTAGTCACTACTTCCTTTCTTCTCCTGTGGGGGAAAATGATATATTGTGCCCCAACTTCACTGTGAACTATTCTCATTATCACAGCATCGAGACACCAGCTCATGGTATCGACATTACGAATTCTGTAATCCGTGCAAGTGTCTTCGTAGCTCGGCTTTGGGGGAAACTTGTAGTTTCAATATGAAAATAGAGAGATCGAAAACACACTTACGATCGGTCCAAGGAGCGGCAGTAGTCGGTGTTTGCTCTGTAATATAAAAACATACCACAACCTTGCAAACAAGACCAACCTATTAAGTTAACAATCTCATTTTATAAGCAAATCACTTTGACTCACAAACTTGTTGAAAAATCAAGCAATGGAAAATATTTAAGTTCTTTACACATACCAACTTTAACCTAAATTCCTTCAAAGAGAAAGGTATGACTGAAATAAAACGATCGAGTAAGCCCTGCAGGCCCTACCCACTGCGCACGTCAACACAACATGCGCTCAGCTTCTCCAGTGTTCCAGCCGCGCGCATCACGCATCTATGTCAGAATTTTGTGCATGCATGGCGGACAAAAATCACGGCTGTGATTGGCCAGAACAGAATGGGGCGTGACTTAATACATCGGAAACCCGGGTATTTTGTATTCAATTTAATGCCACTAATGATAATCTAAAAAGTTGCATCATGAATAGACCGTATTCGTATTCCCCAACGTAGTGTATTTATTTGAAAACATTAAATTCAAAGAATCAAACAATATTCTACGGTTTCATTCCGACCCCCCAAATCACCTGGTACCATCCCATTAAGGGTTTCTACTGTACGTTCAGGAATACGACTGAAATTGGGGACGCCGCGCATACGGTCTATTGCTATTACCGACACGCTTCTTGCAGGTGACGTAATAGTAATCGGAACACTCTTTGTCCTCCCAGGTACCCGATTTGCCCATCATGATGCAGTCCTGCTCTCCATTATCGTTGGGCTGTCCCGACCCCCAGTTCAGGTACACGCCTGCATCTGACGGCGTGTCGTTGGAGGCGTACTTCCAGACTCCCTCCACGTCTCGGTCGTTCTGCCCTACCCAGTAGTTGAAGTTCAAACTGTGTGGAATGTCAACCAACCAGATGATATTGCTGAGTGTACGTTCGTTTTTCTTATACTCTCTAGCGGTGACAGCAAAGTCTGTACGAGCTCTTATCCAACTCTGGCTCCAACCTGTTCAATCGGCTTCCGTTGGTGTGGTAAGAAATTATACTAGGCCTATATGGAGTGCGCATGATACAAAGAAATCGGCAGTAATAACAGGAAAAATATATGGCAGGCTGGGTGCCATGAGAGACCACTTTTCATTGCAGTCCAAATTTCATTTGAAAGCGGAAATTTGGGGGCCCTTATATCGAAGTCTTAATAGAAGGGGTGTGACTTTGTTATGTAGCGCATATTATTTAAATTCCATGTGCTGAATGCATTTTAGCGGAGTGTCACTCTTTGTACGGCAAGAAATAGTGGAAGTTTTAAATTTGTGCACAAGATCCGTCTAGGGAGTGTAAGCAGAGAGATCTGGTACTCCGTAGCTTTCCCTTACGGTCTGAAGTCTCTGAATCTGGCGGCTAGTATGTCGTTCTCGTTGGCGTTTTCAATGTCCATCAGTTCCCAGCCTTTGTCCTGGCAGTAGGCCACGGCCTCTTCCCACGTCTTTTGCTGGCCTGTCATGAGATAGCACGCTCCTGGGTTGCCCGCGCTGCCGAAGGCGTCGGGGTGCAACGTCTCACATTCTGTTCAAACCAAACGGAATCCAAGAGTTTACAACGACATCAAGTTCACTGTGGCCGATGTATCACCCATAGATGTAACCGAGAATTCTGCTTATAAGTCAAGACCAAGTCATTTTCCACAAGTGTCAAGCGAGTTCCAAGTCATCCTTGTTTCCAAGTCAAGTCGGTTCTCAGGTGAGAAATAGCGCAATCAAATTTATATTCGAGTCCGTGTGGGAACTTCAAGTCGAGAACTCTAGGCCTAGTGTCAGCTAAAGTCAGGATGTCAAGTCGTGTGTTGTTTTATTACTTTATTTGAAGGTGCTATAATGCATAACAGAATGTCAAACTAAGGAAAAATCTGGACCTTTAAGAGGTTTACATGACCTCCCCGCGGTCACACATGCGCTTCAACATAAAAGAACATATACACCTCAATCACCAAAATGCTCGTGGTCAGGCGCACCACAGCTACGAAGGCAGAATCAGTCAGTTGATATCATAAAACAAAGCACTTATCCATTATTATAATAGAACATAACAACATAACACTATCTAACAGTGAAGCAGGGTGAAGTTAAAAATCGCACTCGACACAACCCCGTTGAATCTTCATCGCATTCGACCCAACTTCACGAAGAATTACCTGCAACTTCAGGCGGCAGGGTGGCACCGTCGCAGTTACGCGTCGAGCTTTGGGTCGGTCCAAGTTCTAGGGCAAAAAAAAATGGATGCCAAGACCTCCTGAAATTCCATTACTCGGAAAGAACGTAAATATGACTTCAATGTTCACACTGGCAAAACGGGTTTGTCAAGATCGAAGAGATGACAGGAGTCGAGACTCTCAGCAAAGGAATCTCGTAGATAACAAATAACTGCCAACGGGGCCCTGTGAATTTTGGGCAGCAAGACTTTGACAAAAGTACTTCGTCACTGCTGCAACTCAGCCCATAACAAATTTCAATCAATAGTGTATCACTGAGGTTTCCAGTTGTGAAAGGAAACAAAATTAGGGCTTTTTCTTTGAAACGACTTTTAGAATCCTGATTCAACCATGGGTTAAAGAATAGATAAGTATATGCACTACCAAATAAAGGGGTGTCTACCTTTCTTCAGTTTGCACAACGAATAGTAAGTTTCGCTGCAGTCCTTGTCCTCGAACTCTCCTCTGGGTCTTTTGAACATGACCATACAGTTCTGCAGCCTGTCGCCGTTGGGCTGGCCGTTTTCCCAGTTGAGGTACACCGGGCACTGCCCGCTGGAGATGTACCGCCAATCGTCCTCCTGCTCCCGGTCGTTCTGTCCGATCCAGTAGCCATTGTTTTTGCTGGAGTTATTTCAACATGCACAGAATTAGCTTTAAAACTGAATTATGTTGTTAACTGCATAAAATGCTTATCGCCAAGTTCAATCCGAAATGCTTTTATCATTTTTTATACAAAGTAGAATCTATCACGATTTCGATTGGGCTGCCACCCAGTTGTTGACAAAAAAGATATTTCAGAGTTGGAGACAGGAAATATAGCAACAGTTTTAATCAACAGTTTCTGTGTTCGTAAAACAACCTTTATGTGGCACGAAGACAGTGGTACAGTTTAGAGATTTTTCAATGCTTTGGTATATAGTGTTCAGCAAAATTTTGGTAAAACCTATCTATTTTTTAAACATTTATCTAAAAAATGGCAAAACCTACGGGAAATTGTCTCTGTTCCAGGCTTCCAGAAAGAGATTCTCTTCGGCATCCTCGATGTCCACCACTGACCAAGAACCACCGGGGAGATTACTGCAGAAGCTTAAGGCTCCCTCAAAGTTGAACTTCTGATAACTCTCGTGGGCGTAGCATACCCCGGGAACCGAGGGGTTGCTGAAGGCAACAGGCCAAATACCCAGGCAATCTTGCGGACAAACGGATTAGCTGATCAGCTGGTTTCATCATGTTATCTGTCCTCATAGAAAGCCACTTACTTGATTTGTTGCACGGCTAAATATGTTGCCAACATTGTGACGAGTGGCATAATCCACAGCCACAATATAAAGACTTCATGGCTTCTTACCATGCACTACTAAAGTCCTGACCACTAACTCGAAACTCCGCTGCGGACTTTTACATCCACCCAAACACTAATAGCAAAACTTCTACGGTTAATGGGCTTGCGGTAGCTCAGTGCGTAACGAAACATAAAGGAAAATGCCATAAAAATAAAAAATCTAAACAAACAAAAGTAAACAAATCAAAAACAATTAACCAACGCTTAAAAAGACACGTTGCCAGTTCTGAAGACAACATTGAACGGCATTTCAGCAGGCTAGAGATAGAGGGTTGGAAGCACTCGACCCAATCCTTGATTTATTGACGGCAATAATATCGAACTCAAGGTTCCAAACATTCGAGGCCGTTTTGTCGACTAATGTCGTCCTAGTTAGAAAATGCCAAGCCGCTCTTATACACATCTGTTAAAAGCTGATGCGTGCAGAAGCTCGAGGGTGATTTATCACACTGTAAATCTTCCAGGATTCAAAGGCGTTAGCTACATTAACCGACCACGATTATGCTTACCGTCGGGTGCTTCAGTAGACGTCTCCTCAACGAAGTCGGGACAGGAAGGTACGGTGTCTGCAAATTAATTTTGTGACCCAGCACATCAAAATCAGGAATAAGTCTCAAATAGACTTTTTGAGATATGTATATGGTCCGAAAGAGAATTCCACAAGCTTGCGGAGATCCGTGCTCTTCTCTGTATACAGTTCAGTTAATATTCTGATCAGAACAAGAGCAAAGCAACCGTTTTTAAGATTCAACCTTTGCCTTGCTTACTAGGCCCATATGTAGCTTTAAAATAATTTATAGTCCACAGTTTTATAATTCAATCAAACAGTCAAAAATTTTAGCTATGAGCCAAATGAAAAGCTTTCAAAATCTTAGTGCATCACCAATTCACACAAAAAGACACTGTATTACGAGTGAAAAAAATGCGAACTGATTCGACCAAAGTCCGTAAAGATTCGTGTAAGTCAGGCTTTATTCAAAAGACACGGGTAGTGGCTACGATTGCCATTTACACACGTTCCTCTGGGCAAGGACTAAAGAAGCTGGTCAACAACTTCCATTGGCGCACGTTTTAAGCGCCAGCCGTATAGCCAATGCTTTCAGACGCAACGCTGTACAATCTGTGTCGTGCTTACCGGAGGTGATTTTGACTTTGCACAAATAGTAGTAAGTGGGGTCATCGCAGCTGCGGTCCTGGAAGTTTCCGCCGTCAGAGTAGAAGTAGGCCATGCAGTTCTGTCTCAGGCCGCCGTTGGGTTGATTGCTTTTCCAGTTTAGATACACGCTCCGGTTGCAACGGTTGGAGCTCTCGTTTAAATACCTCCACGTGTTCTCGGTCTTCAAGTCGTTTTGACCAATCCAGAATGTGTCGGCCGAACTGTAGATAGGTTTTACACAATTGGCATTGTATCACTCTTAAAACAACCTAGTCAAAACCTAGTCCTAGTTGGTCAAAATTGACTACTGATTCAGTCAAACACCCACGCTAATGTTGGCAAATCATGCTTTCTGACAAGATTCCTATTCGATGCCTTTGAAATATCAGTGAACTGACAAAAAAATCTAGTCAGATTGACTAGTTTCCAGTTGCACCCAGCTGACCCCGAAGAGCTAGTCAAATTTTACTGAATTCTAGTCAAATTTTACTGGTCCGTTTAGAGTGTACGTAACTTTCAGCAGTTCGAAATACCATAATCAAGAAATGGTTATTTCTGACAACATTATCAGCAAACAGTGATTAGACATTCGATTAATAATTGAATTTGGAAGAAAACCTACTCAACATAGGCCTCCTTTTACTGAAATAAAGTGCATTATGACCGGTTTATTTCAACACACCAATTCTCACGTGGACTTATTCCACTCGACGTAAGGAAGTCAGACATTGTTAGTTGCAAATTGAATGACGTTATTGGGTCTAATACACGCAGATGATTATTTTGCTTAATAGTATATCAGTTTATGGCAGTCAGGTTAAACAGTTAGGGAGCACATTACAAACTTGTTAAGAAGAGTGGCTGTGTATCAGTGTCATCACCTAAGTTTGTAATATTCTTTGGAATTTTATAAATTAATGCCATCTTTCTATAAAATATAATATGCAGAAATTACAGCTCAGCACTCTGAGGTAATGAAAATCACATAATTAGAATTGGGTAGGTATATCAAAAGCAAACATATTACGTATTCAGATTTTCTTTTGGGGAGGGGCGTGCTGAAAGAACTTACGAGGAGAGCTGGCCGTTTGCCATCAAAGTACCCAGGGAGTCTTGGATGAGTTTATTCTCCACCTCGTCCTCGATGTCGGCCACATCCCAGCCCAGGCTGTCGTTCAGCCCTTGACAGTAGGCCCTGGCATCGAGGAACACGCCTTTCTCCTCGGCCGCCAGGTAGCACACACCCGGCTTGGTCGCTTGGTACCCGAAGGCCTGGTTGTGGATCTCCGAGCACGACACGGCCTGGACCGACAGGTCGGTGGTGGTGGCAACTGGATCTAGGTCGGAGGCTCCGGGGATCACCGGGTCTGTCAAAATGATTTTCAAAGTACGCAATAGCAATTCAGTAATTTCCTTTAAAAAAACAATAGAGGACGGGATATGAATTTAGCAATCGCGGGTGTTTTTGAGTGTGTAAACGCCTTCAATCGTGGACCTATAACAATAGGGGACAATAGGGTCCACGGTTGCAGAAGAGCCCACGGTTGGAAAACGTGTACAAAACATATGGGGTCTTCCGAAAAAGGTAAAGTATGAACAAAAGAGGAACAATAGGGAGTCCACGATTAAAGGCGTTCACACACTTGGGTGTGTGTGCACAAGGGCTTGCAATCTTGGAGAGAAAAAAAATGGGCATCTTTCCAGTTTGTTCACAATACAAGAGATTTCCGCATGCGTGCATTAAGGTATACATACAGCGACACCTAAACTAGCAAAAGCCTGTCTACGCAAATAACCCATTTTGAAACCAACAGTTAGCTAGTGATGGGAAGCAAGCGGACAAATTATACAATAAGCTACTGAGTAACAGGCAAACAATATTAAATAACTCACCAGCGAAGGACCATTGGTTGACATGAATTGATGCATTAATAAGTTAACAATAAAATTGTGTGGGTCTAAAACAGAGAGGAAGAAACAACGCAGTATCTATTGAGATAATTTACCTTGGTCATTTTGAGCTTTTCCTCCCACAGCTAGCATCAAGAAAACAATGAGCGACATCCATTCACGGCGTACACTCCTACCTGCCCGTACCGGGGCCATTGGGCCTACTGGACTGCAACGGCAGTTGCATTGGCTTCTAACAGTCGCAAACTTACAAATCATTTGTATCTCTTGGCTGAAACTGTCAGTAAACGCTAGCCAATTTTATTTTTTTCACTGAACTCGCGCTCAACGCAACACCCCAGCAAAACAACACCAATAATTTTTTTCCTGTGCGTTCTATATCCTTAGTTACCCGTCTGGTCTGCAACAATCAGAAGTACTGATCTCACGTCAAGTGGAAAACTAAGGAGGCATATAATGGACACATGTAACAAGAATATAGGACTAGGTTGAAACTGACGAGTAAGAAGGTGGAGTTTAATTCATAGCATGAAGGGCACATGTACATAAAACAGAAATTGATAAAATCAATGTAACTGTATACAACTGGTTTCCATTTCATTAGCACAAGGGAAAATACACAAAAATGCAGAAATCATCGCGTTAACGCCATTTATTTGTTAAACAGTTTCATTTAAACCTAGGAAAATACAAATAAAAACAAAATCTTTCAAAAGCATTTCCCAATGTTTCAATTTATCTTCAACATTGTCTTAATAATTGTGTATAAGCACAATGTCATGCGTCCTTTAGATACCTCCGTACAAGGTTCCCAGAGTTCCACTCAAAACGCGCTTGTTCGTCTTCTATCCTAGCGCTGAGTGCTAGTGACGCTTGCGTGACCTCGTACGTGTCCTTATTGATCCAGTCATTGTAGTCATAAAGCACACAAACAAAATTAGCGCTGGACTATTTGTGATGCATCCAACAACCGTCAGCCGATCTGGTTGACGGAAATGGTATTTCTTAATTACCAGGCAAATTTACCACAGGCCTCTCGTCGATTGCTTGGAACGGTCAACCACGTAGTTGTAGCATCTCATGTTTCACCGTACAGCTAATGAGGTATCGATTCTCGTTATCCTTGCAACACGCTAATTAAAAAATATCGGATTGAGTGTACATTAAGACACCTTTTATGGATGTAGGTCCCAATATAGTGCAGTCTGATGACGCCAGGTTTACAAAGGTCAAGGTTGAAAACCTTGTGTCCAGTGACCGTCTTAGCCTCAACCCCTGGCAGCATATAGGGCCTACCCCAATATCCATATGCCGTTGACCCCTTTCGAATACGCCCTCGGGTCTTTTGATGCCAACGAAAATGTCTGATTTAGAAACAGAGATAGCGTACCCTCGCACTGCAATGCCCCCCCCAAAAGAAACAAACAGAAAAAAGCCGGAATTTTCTTGGTATCCAGAACTGGATACCGATTTGATATAAGAGTCCTTTTAGTTGCTCCGTAATGCAAACTCGCCTGGATGTCACGTTCTAAAGATAGCAGTGATTATTACAGTATTGAACTCTTCTGAGGTCAGCATGCAATCAGCACAGTTGCCAAAAGGTTCTTGACCCTTTGTATGGATCTCTATCAAATTAAAGGCTTACTTATAAACACCTAGTCAGTTTCCTGACATGATTTGTTTCATGATTTATGTTCCAAAAAGCCGTATCCCTGTTCACCACTTCCCAGGTTGCATCGCGTGTAATTGGTAAGTGATCCCTGGCCACATAGTGTTTCAGGTTTAATGGCTTCTGGGTAGCGCCCTCCGAACAGAGGTGTTGACAAGTGGGAAGCGCCATAGGGCTGGGTAGCTCAGTTGGTAGACCACTGGTACGGTATTCCAGAGGCTGCAGGTTCAAATCCCGCTAGCGCTCCAGTCAATTTCTTTGTTCATCTTTATAATCAAATTAGGAGCTTCGGGGTGTCTGGCTTTCGCCATCGGCTTCAAAGTCTTGTTCATAAAACAAACAGCTAAAAGGGGACATTTCACACTGTTCCTTCCAGTTTAGTTTCCCATCATTATTTTCATAAGAAAAAGTATGCATATGTCTTTATAACTTCGTCTTTACCATCATCCCACCGAGCAGTGTTACGTTGCAACTCCAATAAACAGTAAAATTATGCAAGCTCATTTCACGAAAAAAGATATTTCCATGGTAATTATGTACACTCACGTTATGTAACGAAAGGGCAACACCTCCTCAAGGATGTTACAATTATCGTGGTCACGACTGCTGTCGGATTATCAAGTCGACTGTGTTACTGATGTACATCAAGTGCTCATAGGAAATGACAGAATCTAATAGCAACTGTGAACCAGACGGGTATCAGGATATAAATCGTGTATAGGCCTAACGCTCGCTTATTTTACTGGCGAAGCGGAGCCATCCAAAAGTCACCTGTTGCAGAGAAGCAAAACCTAAAATTACTGCTCTCAACTTAAGACTTATCTGGCTTTCATTGTCGTTTATTTTCAATTCAAGGAAAGAACTACATGCATACAATTTCAAGGGGGGGGTCCAGAACAGGACTTTCGAGAGGGACATTTTTTCAGGGGCGGGGCCAAAAAATATGTGATCCATTATGTAAACATTTGTGACTTTTCTCGATGGTGAGGCTTATTTTGTGGGCTTGAGACCTTACTATTGAAAGCAATTGTATTTCGTCAAAGAAAAAATTCCCCTCGGAGGATGGCCCCCTTCGTATTAATCGACTACGATTTCCCATCCGAAATTCACGTTTCTTCGAGGAAACCACGAGCGACTAACGCAAACTGCGATGCGTGTTAATCGAATCCGACTCCACTGATGTTTGCAACACGGAAACTTTTTTCAAGGAGAGTTGAAAACATTAAAGACAGATGGGACCAGAAAAGGTAAAACCGTGTCTTTTCGAAGAGGTTTCCGTCCCTGTTGACGCTTGCATTACCAGCTTTCTATCGATAATTTCTTGAGTTACTCGTTGGTCATTAATAAATATCAGGCTTCCTACGAATGGCATTGTTATGGTCGAGATTTTTCTCTATTCCCAACATTGGTTTCTCGAAAATGTTTACCTCATACGCAAGCCTCTCTACTATGCCAATCATTGAAATTTACATGACCATCCAGCACGGTTGCAATTATGAACCACAATAAGAAACAGGCTCTCAGTCCTTGGCCCTTTCAACCCCACTTTTCCACCGAGTATTTTTCAACAGCTGTGCCGCTAGTTACGTATCCACGTGATCAGCCAACGAGGGATTTAATTGTCGTACATTGTCGTTAATGCGCAGACCACTAATGCAAAAAATCAATACAACTCGGGGCCAAACGGACGACAAACTACGCAGACAGAACGACCCCCAATTGCACTGGCGCGCTCACCAATTTACGACGGTCTCGGCTTTTTCAAATTGGGTGAAAGCAAGTCCTCCATTTTCTGGCAGCGTGCCAAGCCTGAAAGATCACCAAAATCCTCCAATCTTTTTCAATTTTTCAATTCAATTAAAGTTAGGATGCGAGTTGTTCAGTAGAGAGCCACAAACTTACGACACCCAAATGCAGGCTTGATTTTAAAATCTCGAAAGAAGGCAATTCTGTCGGCATCCCAAAAGAACAGAGGCGAAAAACTCATACTCAATACTCCTTACTCATTTTCTTCATTATCACCGCAACGGAAATCTGTCACACCGAGCCGTCACGAGTTTACCGTGGAAAATTGCACGTACCGCACAAATTGGATACCACACGACGGAGGGAAAAAACAGAGAAAAGCGCTCATGGACAGAGCCCAGTCGTTTGAATATTAAGATTGTACCAATAAACCCTTGTCCAACTGAATTCAAACTTTGCCAATGTATCAAAAATGGGCGTCTTCAAGTACACACAAAACTTTTACCAAGAAAAAGGGATCTCTGCAGTTATACAGCCGAGATGTTCAGATCTCTTATTCCTGTTTGTTACAATCCTCGCTGACATCTCCAACGCGCAATGCAATAGAGTACTTGTTATACAGTAGTGAACAATATTTTTTTTACATGTACAAGTCAATATTTCTAAACACGTGATTCTCTGTATAATTCATTCCATTTGAAATAAAATATTTAAATAATGTCCAGCCTTTACAGAAAAATTACACAAGCAGTACACAATTGATAATTATAGAAACAGATTTGAGGCTTACATCGAAAGATGAGAATATGACACCAAGTGTTCTACTACAATTCACATTTTGTTGGGGTTGATTGATAGAGCTAACTGCAGCGGCTGAGCACCAAAGACAACAAGGCCTCCTGATTTTCAGCACGAAATTGTTTTTAAAAGGTGTCTGAAACCAGCAACATTTTCATGTCGGTGTCGTATGAGATGTGGACCCTCAGGAAAACGGCACCCTAAGCCTGACTCCGCATGCACATGTGAGGCTGTGTGACAAGATAACGGTCCAAGGACCAGATTCTACATAAATTCACATTAAAGGTGATACCGTGCCCGGCACAGCATCAACCGACTAGTTTCTCAATGGGTTATTGTTTGGTTCCAGGCAGATGAAAAAAAAAATGTCATAAACATTCAAGTTTTCACATAATGCTGGTCGTTTCAAACATAGTTGGATAAGATCGAGTACGGGGGAACAGATAGAAACAATATACAACATGATAAAACCATTACAGAGACATAATTCAGTGCAAATGTTGCTAATTGTGTCTACAGGGCTGGATATAACATCAGTGATGACTGGTAACCCGCTACGCAGGAAGAAAGTGGGGATGAAACATTGTTTTGCAAGCTGAAATGGGATATGAGACAGTGGGTGGGGTCTCTAACATAGAAATGGGGGTGGAACACTTTCAATGTATAATCAAAATCTTTTACATAACTGTATATAAGTTTTTGCAAATACGCCAAGCATTATGAACATTTGGAACTTGAATCACATTTTTGATGGAATTGCTTTAGTAAAACTAGGCAAGTGCTCACAATATTGCAACTGAGATGCATGACGCATGGTTTTTATTTCATATCCTTGCAAAACCCCAGCTCAAGGGCTGAAATCCATAACAACTGCTTAGCAGCCCTCGGACTAAGCCCATATCAAGGAAGCCATCAGCAGTGTTTCCAACTGACGAATGCACCAACTTTACGGGGACCCCCTCTTGTGAAATAACACTGTTACAGGAATTTCTGCCCGTGTAGTAAATATGTTTTGACAGCGTTCTCATTACCACTTGGAATAAAATTACATTGCTCCAGAGTCAGTGTGTATGCACATGGGCCACCATTTGAGACCGCGCTTTGGTTCTCGGTGGGAACCACAGGCGTTCTCAACTGGAACAAGCCATGTTCTCATGGGAACAGAAGCTCCCTCAGGTTAACTTAAAGATTGCTGGCAGAGTCTACCGAAATGGACTGGTCTTCCTTACAGCTGGAATTTGTCCATGGAGCCGTCCATGTACTTGAGAATGACGGCTCTGGGTTGGGGCCAGGACAGGGTGACCTGGCGTAGTTGGTTGGCCGTGAAAGAACCGGTGAACGGCCTGGTCTTGAAGGCCTTGACGCACTTGGTAGAGGAGCTGATCATGCCCCCAAGAAGCGCACTGCCAGTCTGACCCGATAGAAAACAACCACAATTAGTTTCCAGTTCATCATCTCAAATGGAATGAATTTTTGAATAGACTAATTCGATTAGACGCCATAACTGCAGTGGCACCAGACTCGCATGCACATTCTTCAGTTCGATGCGCGTGTGCATCTGGTAAATCACGACACCCTATTGGTCAAAGAGGCATGTAATGTGCGCGTACCACCTGTTGTGCCACCGCAGTAATGGCTTCTAACTCTGGTGGTCGAATTACACTATGGACCATGATGCAATACAGTCAACTCTTATTGCAATTAGGTTACAGGGACCACACAAATGACTTTGTTATTACCAGGACTGCGTTAAAAGAGGAGTGGCCAAAAAAAACTAAGAGAGACACAAAGAATTCAAGTCATTGGGATTTACAAAACTTACTCGTAATAACAGCATTTTGACACTACGGTTCTGCTTTACATTGGGAGTCAACTGCAAACAGAAATATGTGTTGATGCACTTGAAGGGCCAGCAATGACAAACAGATCCTGTGTTACAGAGGCACGGTATCCCGGAAAGTTTTGAGTATGGGAGATAGTACCTTTGCTTCAGGGTATTTAGACCGGAATTTCCAGTTTTTTCACAATCCATGGTACAAAGTTTATCAACTTAACCAACATTTGTTTTCGACTATTTGGGGGTGTTGTCTCGTTCTCATCTTGCGTTTTTGTTTTCTGCTTTTAATTTGTTGTTGCTTAAGATCCCCAGAACTTTTTGGACCACGCCTCAGGTTCACTGACTCTGGAACTCATAAAAAAAAAAAAATCGTGATAGATTTCCGCAACCATGCATGCTCAGTAAAATTAAGTCTGTCCACGAAATGACCTCACTCTGCAAACTTTCCAACACAAACTCCGACACGAGCTGCTGCCCACTAACAGAACCACACAGATCAACAATGTGGCACCCAATTCGTGCAAACGGCATTCGTTTGACGAGAACAATCAGGCTGTGGAACAAACCAGACATCTCAACTGGGTAATCTGTGTTTCATACTTGGAGACCAAACATAAACAGCACCTGTTCCCTCAACCGACTGGACAACATGCGTCTCCACACACTGAAATCATGTCAGTAGAGAAAGAAATTACTAAAAGGGCTTGTCTGCCATCAACAACTTATACATGTATCACACTCTATGGCTACAATCCATGCAACTGTGTCCATGCACTGTGCATGTCCTGTAGTCGTGTACACACACACACACATGCTTGTTTCACATACTCAGTGTGGACACTCTGCTGTTCTCCTATGGTCAAGAAACTTGGCCAAAATGCTCCCTTTTCTCTTGGTTAGCATACGTCTTTCAGCTGGATGTTTGATGATTTCCTGGAGTGTTCCTCTTCATTTTTCTATGGATTACCCTGACCCCAAAATGCCTCTGAAGTGGTTTCTCAGAGAGGGCAAAACACTGTGTGGACATGTGTGAGACCACACAATGCTTTCTAACCCTACATTATGTGGACTTCTTTTGTGCGGAGGTCCACAGTCCACACTATGTAAGCCATGCGCAATCACTCATACAAGATAACAACCTTGCTTCAATACACACACACACGTGAAATCAGTCCGAAAGGATGCATTCTTTCTAGTTCTGAGGTCTTGAGGGTTTGGACTGCTTCGACAATTTACCAATTTGACTGTACCCACAGTTAAACCACACTGCGATTGTTTCATTACACTTGATGCATATTTACAAGATGCATTATCATTTTAATTTATCAAAATTTTTAATTTGGGTACCAAAACTTGCTTAGAACAGTGCAACTAAAACAAGTGGAACAGTACATCAGAGGCGGCTGTTAAAATTCCAGGAACACATTGAAGGAGCTCATTATTTTGATTCGTGGACAGAACTGGAATATGGACCAATGAAGTAAGTGCACTGGCTCATAAATATGCATAAGGTGTAATGAATGATCAAACTGTATGCGTGCATCTACTATCTAGATTGCAACCAAAGATTTGGGTGTTGGCAAGAGGGTGGCCCAAGGGTGAGGGTTCTTGACATAGCCTATAACTGATGCCGCAAAGTTATTGGGAAAGGGTAACCATCCGAGGCATAAGATGGCTTCAAATAATACACAATACCTATATCTACTGCCCTCTACCGTCAATGCATAACTCAAATATACAAATATAGCCAAATGACATAAGCAAATGGCATCGCACACCAAAGGGGCTGTTTTGTTGGCACTTACCAGTTTCATCACTCCAGCCACGGGCGTGGCAATGGTCTTTATTGGGGTCAGTTTAGAAAGGGGTGTGGATAATAAATAAACTTTATGAATATAAGGCTTTGATCAACCCAGGATTACAAGGTCACTTGTTATGAAAATCCCTAAACATTTGAAACAAGATGATCTCGGATGACAAACATCACAAATTCACCGCAAAAACTGCTCACTGGTATCTACCAAAATAACACCAACATCCCCCAAAGTGCCACAAATTGACATCAGAGAATCTGAAAATGATATGTGATCAGAGCTACTTACCTGCCAGAAGCAGAGCTTGGTGTCACCAAAGGCATAAGAGGCCATGTACTTGCCATCAGGGGAGAAAGACAGAGCTGTGACAGCAGTGGTGTGGCCAGAAATGGACTGTGGCAGAAGAAAGACATGAACATCGGGATTGGGTGTGTCTGTTTTTAAGAGCAGTCTTTCGTTTGTACCTATGGGTCGCAAGCCAAATTCCACATTTCTCGGGTATTTTTGTTAATTCAGCCGTAGACAACTGAGTTATTTTCAAACAAACAAAGCACAAATTAAAAATCAAATTAGAAAATTAATTCAAAACCAAACAAATCGCAAAGACAATTCTTTAAACCCAAATGGTTAAATAATTAAAATGATAAGACTCCAATAAATGTAGGACCGAAGATGACCCACAAACGTATTTAGAGATTGCTGGAAATAGGACTATTGACACCTGTAAATTTGATAGATCAAGGAGATATGGAAGTGGGCATGGGTCTGCATGAGATAGGGTCGTTTCATGAATACCATGTGGAAGGGGAGCAGTTACTGGGTAGAAGTGCTGGGTAAGCCCCTACAGATCAGACATTTCCTCCTGGCCAAATACAAGAAGACAAATCTGAAGTAAAACAATCATGACTGGCTCACACTTCACGCGAAAATTCCTCCTCTACATCCACATTCTCATAACAAAAGGACTAACCTGTGACTTGCCCGTCTTGGCGTCGTAGATGGCGATGAGGCCCGTCTTGGCGCCGGCTGCCGTCTTCTTGGTGTTGTGGCAGTAGCTGAGCATGTTGAAGCGACAGATGCAAGGGAAGATCTCTAAGAGTCCCTTGGTCTTGAGCTGGCCTGAGTCCAGGCAGTGGACAACAATGTCCATCACCTGTAGGATCATCAATAATACAACCACACTGAAAGATACTCATGGGCTTGCCTTCCTGGAGCAGAATTCTGTTTGCTAATTGTTCAAAGAAAAAAGACATCCTGACACTTTTGAAGTCTTGTGTCTTTACAAGAATGTACAATGATTCAAGAATTACATACAAATATGCAATAATGCCAGTCTCACATTTACCGCTTCTTAACGTTGGTAAAAGAAAGTCACAAGGACAGCTTACTTGATCATGTATAATCACGTGATCATTCTTCAACTGAATGTACACAAAAACCCACTGTGATTAGTGCATCTGAGCACGACACATGGCAAAAATGGCAGCCAGATGTTCATTAGTAGCGGTAATGTTTTGTGCTTTTATTACTGAGAAATAAAGTGTCTAAATCAACTCCCTGCAGCTGGGAGTAAAACGAGTCTATGGGAAGTGGCTACTGGCACTTGGAGAATGACTTGCATTGGTACGCTAGCCATAGTCATAACTATGTAGACACAGGCTCGTGGGCACAGTCTTCCTTGGACACAAACCTCAATCATGAGGTCCACCACGTCGTTCTGCATTTTCTCAATGAGCAGCTCCACGATGCGCAGCACCTCGGCCTTGGCCCGGCCCATCGGGTTGGCCTGCAGGATGGCAGCCGGCGTCTGGGTGTTAGAGGCCAGGGCCTGGTAGCGGGCCACCTCCTTGGCGATGGTGGTGATGAAGGTGGCCGGCCGGGCCGTGGCAATCAGGGCCAGGGCGTGGTGGGAGCTGCGGTTGGAGTCGGCCACTGGTGTGATGGGAAGGCCGCTGTTAATGCTGACAAAGTAAAAAATAAACATGCTGTAAGACAGGCCAACCTTACAGTGAGGGATGAGTTTTCATCAAGTAACATGGACCAAGTTACACTGGTGCTATACAGAAAATATTGCTCCAAGAGTTTACAAACTAAGCAAAAATCAGCAACTACAATCAATTTCCCACAGAAATCCAGAAACCAAATTTCATGGCTTTTCCAGGACTTTCTAGGACCAAAATAGGGCACCTTCTATGACATTTATTACCATTTTGCATAGAAAAGCTGTTTAGTATTATGAACAGCAAGACTGCTACAGCCACTGCTATAGACTGACAAGGATAACCTCTAAATTTATCATGATTTCATTATTACATGACTTTCAATGACTTTTTTCCTCCAACTTCAGGATTCAAGGACACCCCATTTTTTCCCCAAAGTTTCCATGGCTTTCCCTGACTTTCCAGGACAACTTATTACCAAGGATTTTTTTCAGCAATATCCGTGTCAGTGAAAAGTCTGATAAAAACAATTAACGAGGTCAGAGCACCGGGATGGCCCATTTTCATCGTGGTCCTAGACCTGTGAAGGGGAACGATGGATTTCCGACCAGGGGAGAGACCAGCCCAACATCACAGCTTTGGAGTGAGTACCTGGCGGCAAACTGGTTGGGATCGCTGCACAGCTCCAGGAGGCCCAGGAAGACAGCCGAGACGTCGATGAACGGCTCCCAGACGGTGAAGCCCCTGCCAAGCAGGTCGATGGCGGCCCGGCGGATCGGGGTGTGAGCCGGTAGCTTGGGCCTCGGGGGCTCCAGGAGGAGGTAAGCCAGAGCTTGGGCTGGGGGTGACAGAGGGAGAGGGGGACAAACTCTTGTCAAATCTGTACTCATGGCCTCGCGACAAAGTGAGGTGATTGATGCTAGGGCTATCCCTAACTGTCCTGTAGTTAGGGTTTATAATGTTGCTATCTTCAGCAGGATAATCTTGAAAACTCTCCACTTTACTTTTCTGACCATCCTTGAATATCTTCCATAACTCCAAATGACTAACCATTGTTCATGATAAAATTTACTTATTTTTTGGTACCCTATTATTTCCCAGTTTCCTGCCAAAAAACCCAAACTGTCTTTGAATTTGATAAGAGAAGACAAAGCCCATTTTTTTCAGTGGTAGTCATCAATACTGGTAACTTGTTTATCACTGGTTCCCTTCACTCCAACATCATATCATCTGGGAAGTGAAAAGTTGTTCTTGTCCAACGTTTCCATCCCTAGTTATTTTCCTGGTACCCCAACAATCCCTGGTTCCCTGTCAACCCATCAAACCTATCTGTGCCTAGCAGGCAAGGGCTTCTCTGTGACAAATTTACCCATCACATCCTATCGTTCTGGTATCCTGTCACTCCCTGGTTCCCAGCAACCCTCAACTTACCTGTGTGCCTGGCCAAGGAGTAGTCGTTCATGCCAAACCCTTGCTGGACCGGGCGGTTGGAGGGGCTGCCTTGCAGGCGGGAGGGCTGAATTTCTGCCCCAAACTCGGCCCCAATCACCCCCAGCATGACGATGGCGGTGGCCTGCTTGCGGCGTGACTCAAACGAAGTCGACAACTTCTTAGTCGGCGAATCACCTGCAAAGTTGGGAATCAGTTTCATTTTCAAAACATTCACGGAGTCTACGTAGCAAGTTTAGTCAACCTGATTGCAGAAAATCTTGCTGACAAAATTTATCAGCTAAGCAAAAATCAGCAGGGGACCAGTCAGTGGCAATGAACATTCTATGAAAATGCAGCTGGTAACCAGAACTTGATAAGGAATTCCCTTCCATGCTCAGCACGACGGCCACAAAGAATAAAGACACTCTCTCTCTCTGTTTACCTGAGAGTATCTCCTCCTCGTGCTCCTCGCTCTCGCTGCTCCCCGTCTCCGACAGAGAGGACATGGAGCTGGCCTGGCTCTGGCTGCCCAGGAGACTCAGCGAGGAGTCCACGTAGTTGGGCAGGTGGTGGGCCCAGGTGTGGATCACCTCCTCGCGTCCGTCCGCACCGATGCGACGTAGCTCAGCCAACAGCAGAGCTTGGGCAGCTGCCCGCACCTACATGCAAAAAAAAGGGGAAAAGAAAACAAAACGAAAAACCCAAATGCATAAAATAAATGCATTTACAAATACATCCTTTAAACTCAAAAGGCTGACTTCAAAAGGCTCAGACCAGTTGAAGATGTACTCTTTTAGAACGTTGTACCTTCAAGAAAATTTGCATTTATAAGGACGTGTTCATTTGAAAGGATCCTCGTGTTATCTGAATAGGTGTTTCAAAGTTTGGAATGATTCTTCCTGGTTCAATAGTGCGTTTTATGCTGTGAACACCCATAGAGGGTTTGCATGGCTGGCATCTTGGAGGCCAGTGCTTTTGTTCCACAGGGTATGCACAAAGGAGGTTTCCCTGTGGAACAAAAGAAGCGCCCTGCAACATGGCTCCCACGCAAAGCCTCTATAGCTCCATCAGGAAAAAGCAGAAGCTCTAAATGTTCCTCACGGTGAGAAATTCAGACATACTGAAGAGGTACAAATGGGCGTGTGACCATGAGGCTTGGCCATTTGGGAACCAAGAGTTGGAGAAATTGATAAACGTTACCTCCAGGCACCTGTCTTGCCACCTGCGGGCCAACATCTCTAGATGCGGTGGTTTGTAGCGGGTGCTCCCCAGCAAATCAGGGAGGAGGACACAGTGCAGAGCGGCTAGCAAACTCCAGCCTGGTTACAGGCAAGGAGTGGAAGACAAACGGCAATCAATATCTACATGAGTTTGTTGTGGGGGACAAGCAATGGTTATTACTCGCAGGACGAGTGGCTTAGGGGTTAAGATGTACAATCTCTTGTGCGGGACAAGCTATGGTTATTACTCGCAGGACGAGTGGCTTAGGGGTTAAGATGTACAATCTCTTGTGCGGGACAAGCTATGGTTATTACTCGCAGGATGAGTGGCTTAGAGGTTAAGATATACAATTTCTTGAGCACTACTACTGTTTGGCAGTGCAAAGCTCTTCTGTGTGACCACAAGCTGGATCCAATACACTTGGTTCTTTAACTTCAAACACGGACAGTGACTCTTGGGCTAATGGTGCGAGGTGATGAATTGAAAGGCTGGCTTTACCTTGCTTTATCATGGCTTGCTCAGGGGTAAGATCAGCGAGATTGTCAAAGGGATCACTCTTATCTCCTTCTGTGCCTGCGGCAGATCTATTGATGTTGAAAAATGGGAAAAACCGATACAAGATTATGATTCAAAGAATTGGAAAAATTTGTTCAAAGATGAAATTTATGTCACTTGATATTAGGAAGATGAGGTGAATATGTCGGAAACAAATATTACGTACTTTTTGGATTTGCCCTTGCGGAAATGTGACAGAATCATGAAGCTGGCGTTGTTCATGCTCATGAGGGTGTTGGCCACCGAGATGACCGACAGGAGATGCTGGGTGGTGACTGCTCTGGAGAGCTCCCAGTGACCCAGGTACTGCTGGCCTTCGAGGAGAGAGCCCAGCTGGTTATCCGACAGCTCCTTCTGCTCCCGCTTCTTGAGCTGGAGAGCCTCCTTTGCCGAGATGGAGCTGGGGTCAGGCGACATCCGGGACGGGGAGGGGCTCTTGGATGGGCTACGGTGCCAGCCTGGGAGCATGAGGGACATGTAGGCGCCATGGGAGAGCAGGCCAAAGGAGACGGGGGAGTGGGGCTTGAGGAGGCCCAGCTTGGTCAGGCAGATGTCGTCCAGGGTGGTGTCCAGCCCCCAGGCATGCAGGCAGGACATGAAGAGCTGGGCAATGTCCAATGTCAGGTGACTCTGGTCCAGGGTTAGGTTCTTTGAGGCCTTGCGGGTCAAAACGCCACGGTGCCGGGAGGTGGCACCGCTGGGCGGCCGCATCTGGTGCAAGACGCCTTCGTCCTCCTCATCGTCGCTCTCCTTGATCTGCTTCTCGATCTGCTTGGTCAGGAACCCGGCCACGCGCTGCGAGAGCTTTGGGGAGTGGGACTCGGCCTGCTTGGATGCCGACAGCTTCCCCGCCTCAGACTGGCCCTTGGTGACGATGCCGGGGATCAGATTCTCATCCGTCAGCAGGTGCACCACCAAGATCTCTGTGTCGAAGAACAGCACGTGGAAGTCCGAGTCCTTGCTGTTGGAACGCAAGGCCTGGATGGAGAGAGCGTGGGAAGGGTTCTTGGGGACAGGTTCAATTGTGGAAGGGACATTGGAGCCCTGGTAGGTGGCAAGCAGGTGGCGATGGGCAGCATTCTTAATTGCCGTCAGGCTACGGCGACGGAATGCCTGGGCAATGCTCTGGGCGGGGGTCAACATGGTTTCCACAGTCTGTCCAACGTGGTTACATGCTTCCAAGATGTCTTCGGCTGTCACACCCTGGGCGATGCGGTCCAAGTGACCTACAGAATACAACAGAGACTACTGGGATGCAAGAAATAACAATAAATTTCCAGAACTTATCTGACAATACACATCCGATCCAACAAACTATCTCCATATAAGGCCAAGTTTGAACGCTCCTGGTTGAACTCTCTGAACAAAATCTTGCCGGCTGCTACTCTCACAATATTTGCCCTCATTGACAACTCCTAAAATTATTTTCAAGTGAACGGTTCCCTCTGTATGGGTAAATGAAATTGGCTTCTGATAACCGGTGCTACGACCATACGTCCTGGTTCCAAATTGTTGACCAGACGGACAAAACTGTCAATTATTTGGGCAGCATTGGCCCCACGCCAGATTTTAGAAAGGTTCCGGCAACAACCATTCATCAACAACTGGTTAATTTTGCCCTTGTAACCTGTGCACAAATAAATTCTAAGTACAGTGCAAAATCAACCAACAGTTGACAAATGATCATCTGTCCAACTCAAGAGTCATCACTTTCTGTACAGAGAGTATGATAGCTCAAAACAGATGTGGTTGCTAAGTAACAGAGCTCGCTCATCTCGTTTCCTCACCCACGGCCTGTCACGTACCTGTCTCCATTTGCCAGACGAAGACACTGCCGTCCTCGCAGCCCACCACCAGGAAGTCCTCGGTGGGGCGCCACTTGATGGTCTTGATGGGGAAGAGGTGGCGACTGGCCAGCATGATGCACTTGCGCTCGCGCAGGCTGAGCAGCGCCACCGAGTGGTCGCTGGCGACCGTGCAGATGCACGCCAACACCCGGGCCTGGAAGGAAAACGAAGGACCAAGGGTTTTGGGCTGCCGTTTGGCGTGAGTGAGTGAGTAGGCTGGGTGACACAGCTTCAGGAAAAAGGAGCATAACACAGCGAGACTGAATGTGAAATAAAGATTCAACGCAATGCAGGCAATTGCTAGTTTTGTGGAAATGAGTACGAAAGCAAATAATCAGGACAGAACAAAAGGGAAACACAAAAAGTTGAGATTTCAGTTTGAGTTTGGTTGAAAACAGTTAGACCTAAGATTCGAAACATTCAAGAAATAGTCTGACTTTTTCTTTTCCTTATAAATCCAATTCAAAACTCAAAAAGCACTGGCAATCTTTGAGCATCGGTGTGGGGCTTACAAATGAGGCACCATGATATATATTTCTCCAGTTCCAATAGGATTTCATGTTCGTACATGCAAGATATGTGACCAATTGATCGATGATATGGACACGATTTGATGCCTCTCCCAAAGAAATCGATGATACATAACACCCCTCTCAAATGACAAGAGAGACGTACGTTGCAATTCTCCGGCGGTATGACCATACGGTTGATCTCTCCGCCGTGCAGGCAGAAAGTGTGAAGCAGGTTGCCAGAGAAGATGTCCCAGAGGCAGATGGAGAAATCCACACCTCCCGACACCAGGAAGGTGGAGTCGTAGCGGCTGTTCTCCTGGTGAGGGTACAGGAGGCAGGTGACTTTGTCCTGGTGGCCGCGCAGGATGCGGTGGGGAGGCCAGCCTAGGGGAACAACATGAAATAACAGCCACCGTCTAATGGCATCTCTGATGGATCGTTTCTTGCATTCTCGATCCTAAATCGTCCAACGTAAACATGATTTTTCACACACCGTACGGGGTTCAGGTTTTAACAGAAAAGGTCTTTGATCTCCATCAGTTCTTAGTATCTCCTGACTGGGACCCACCCTGTGTTTGTGGATTTGGAGATGGCTAAGAAAAGATAAGGTTGGAGAGCTGGTAGAACAACGAATGCATCTGCTCTTTTCCTGGTCTGTGTTTGGTCCTTCTTGTCCAGTGCATTCAAGACACACCTTAAGCAAGAGGTACGGTGTCCCAGTGAGGACACTGGGCACCACTGCTGATGGCTAACTCTCAAAATACGGTCACTTTGACATACGGCCTGCACGACTGGCCCCTTGGTTTCATCATAAGAGCCAAGCTTATGAAGGTGCCCTTTCACGGCTGGGATCAATAGGGCCATAAATGGCAGTGATAAGGTATGACGAAGCACATTTAAAGGGGGAGTGGGGAGCTGTGCTACAGGAAATGGTTGTCGTCAGACTGGCTAATTCTTCAAGCAAAACAAAAGCTTTTGGTACCTCTCCTGGCTGTGTGTGGTCCTTCCAGGAGCTGAACGATGGCTGTCTGAATGGCCGGCACGATGACAATGCTACCGTCCTTGCGACCGCACACTAGCCAGCCTTGGTCTGGTAGGTAGATGCTGGCTGTGACTGGTAAAGGCTCGGACGTTTTCTCGCTGTGTGAAATACTCTGCGATCAGAGTTAAGTCACAGACATTAAAATGACTTAAATTAAAAGCAGAGCCTATCAAAAACTATTCGATGTCTAACGGCCTCCTTGGATTCTGACACTTTCAAAATCTTTCAAGAAAATGAAATGACAAATTCTATCAAGGTTAAACAAATCTATAGTGAGTCTACCACAGCACACCAGGCCTGGTCAATTGTGGCATGCGCCAGGTTTGCTTACTGAAAACAACTCCTTACAACGATTCTGAAACAACACTTAGTAAAAACCTGAACTCAAGTTATCCTCCGCACACATTACCTCACACAGCTGTCATCATTAACACCAATAAATGCTGCTGTAAAGCAACATAATGACAGGAAAATGTCGCGAAAAGCTGAACCAACTTCAAAACATCAAAACGAGAACTTTGATCTGGTTAACACTTCTTTCCTTTTCCTTTTCCCTTCATTCATAGAATTTCTAGGGGTTTCTCTGAAGTTTACCAGAGGTACGATACTGACCAGTTGATCTATGATGCCAGCAGGTCGCGGAGTACAGTACTTCCATAGATCACTCAGGCTGTTACTGGCAGAGGGTGGCATAACTACAGAGAGGACAAAAAAAAATTGAAACGGGAAATGAAGCCGATATGCTTCGATTTACATACATCACTTGCTTCATCGAATGGGCTCGACCATTCAAGTACAACCCTTCTGCCGACTCTGTTAGTGCTATGTCTGAAACACGTGAAGGTCTGTGATATCAGAAAGTAACTTCCCACCTCGGTTTTCCGACTAGGAAAATAGAGCCACGACTCTCAAACTACCTGCACAATAAAGATAGATCAGTCTTCATTTTTGTGATGTTCTCAAAAATTGACGATGACCTTCCAGACCCATTTGTTGTAGGGCGGTGATTAAGATTGAAACCTTTGCTTGCTGAGGATGGCAATTTTTATTTATACATTACATGACATCAGTGCAGTTGGCCGAAAATGCCTCTGTGAAATGGTCTTGCTTTCACTTTACCCAGATAGTTCCCATTTGGGCGCCGCCACACCACACCCATGGCTGAAGCGCCGGAACGGACTGGGTCTGTGCCGACAAGAGAATCCGTTCCCTCACCTGGCAGGGTGTCAAACTCCTCCTGCTTCAGGTAGCTCAGCTCCTTGTCCGAGATCTCCGGCATTCTCCACACCGTCACACAGCCCTCCGAGTCCCCACGGACGAACAGCTTGTAGAACGGGCCGCGCCGGCCGTAGAAGAACGTCATGGCCGGTGCACAGGACAACGGCTAGGGGACAGGTAGAGAAAATGACATTGTGATATTTTAAAGTTGCACCCTTAATGAGTTTTCAATAGCAATCATCTTACACAGGCTGCCTCGTGGCCCTTTGAATTCAATCAAATCAACAAACAAAAACTGTAGACTCCAAGTACTTTTTGTTCCAATGCTGACCCCCCCCCAGGAATTTGACATATCTTGGTTTCCTCTTTGATAGCGACAAAAGTACAAAGCATGAACCTCTTCCAATTTTCAAATCTCTGACAAAAACCAAAGATGAGCAGTGACCTGTAAAAATGCCCTACTGTGATGGCACTTAAGTGTCCTCCAAGCATCAACGTCACCTAACTCAAATATGACAACTGGGTCAAGTCAACTTGCTATGGTACCTTGAGGTCGTTGGCCTCCAGAATGCAGTAGAGGAAGGGATGAGAGGTGACTTCCACGCCCCGGCCGATGTTGCTACGGAAATCCTCGCTCTCCGGGATGCAACTGAAATGGAACACAAAGGATGATAAACCCGACGACCCGTTGAAGCAGTAATGCTTCTCTGACCTTTGAACCCTTAGAGATGGGTTCAAAATCTGCACGTGCAGACAGGTGGATTGAATGGGCAGGTTCTCAGTATGAGTGAGGGGACTGAGTTTCCCCCAACTTCTCAAAATGAGAAGCGTACGCTGTGAACATCACAGGTACTTCTGAGGAATCCCACGTTCTGCTGGGATAAATAGGTGGCACATCATTCTGCTCAGCAAAATTAGTTTCTGCTTCCAGTATTCTGGACTTTCATATAAACCATCATGCAGAGTAAGCCGAGGTCGATTTCTACTCCACATGTGTATCATTTAGTTGATATCAGGTGAAAAATGGACGGCAAAAATGGTTTCCCTTTTTCATCAATAGCGCATGACCAACCCAACATTGCCAACATATTATGTTCAGAAATAATCACCTCTACTAAGGAAAGTCGGTATTGCTAAAGCTTGCTGTACTAGAATGGAACATTCTGCCGTAGAATTTCACAAATATTAGGGTGAAGTTGGACTTGAAGCCTGAGGCTAACTTCCAACATGCCCACCTGGTAGGGAGCTGGTAGAGAAACCCTTTGCCTTGGCTGTTCCATATGATCACCCTGTCTGCGCTGATGAAGTCCCCACCGCACCAATGGTAACCCTTCTCCGTGTCTTCAGAGCACAGCTGGGAGAAATCGCCGGCGTCATAGATCTGTAGGAAATTGCCACCAAATAAATCGGGGCGATCTCAAACCCTCGTTTGGGGTTTACTTTTGCTAGGTAGTTGTTGATGTGTTGGATATGCACGGCAAATTCTTCGTAGCTCATGCATATTAAACATAAGAGTTTCAACTAATTTCTCTTCAACAGTACTGGTGAAATCCAAAGAATTGAGCGAACTGGAAATACGTACCCTATGGACCCTCCACATTAACTGCAGGTGGAATGGAGAGGCCTATTCACATGATCTATTAATTAAAGTGACCATGCACATTAAGCACACCCAGGTTTGAGAATGTAAAAAATTTTCAACTGAATGTGCACAATGCAACTTTCAAATTGACACGACATGCATGCATCTGAGCATGGGCATACAATTCCAAAGGCACAATGGTCCCGTCCAGTGATTGTACAATATCCATGTTTTACCCCCCGTGGGTGAGGCGCGGGGGTCTATACCTGCCAATACTTGGTGCAGACGATCAGCACGGTGCGAAGGGTGAAGGCACAGCAGGACAGAGTCTGCGCATTGTGGCATCTCAGGGGTTTGCATTCCTCCTCTAGATGGGGCTCTGTGTTCTGAAAAGAGGAAAACTATCTGTAGGAACTGTTCCCTAGATCTCAACTATAAAAAGGCGGAAAAAAATGATCCACAGAGGACCTCTTTCGTGTAAAACAGTAACAAACGACCAAGAAATTGATTCACTTGATCACTTGATCATGACAGAGAACCCTTTTTTTTTGTAATGGTGGAATAAATGTAGTCAAAATGAGGTCTCACATTTCAACCTATGAATAGCAGAATTCAAACAAAAGAAATAAACACAAAAAGAAAGTATTGGACTGAAAAAAATGTTATTTCGTACACGCAGATCACTAGAACAATATGTCCTACTTTGACTCAGTTCACAAAAATGGGATTTTTCAGGGTTTTTTAATCATTCAAACTTGGCACTTGAATTTTCCCTTGTACACTAGCATTCCTTACCTTGCTTTCCGCACCGCACAGATTCCAAACTTTCAGCATGCCACTCTTGGATATGCCTATGACAACATCCTCTGGCAAATAAAAACAATTATGACTTTTCAAGTTCTCGGTAAAATGCTTTGGAAGTAAGGGAGTAGTGGAGAGTCGAGTCTTCATGTCAGCCGGGTTGTTTCAGGCAGTGAGAAAAGAGTGTTACGACTGGTTGAATCTAAGAGCTATGCTTTGGGTTGACTGCTCTGACTTGAAGAACTCCATTCTCGACAAAGAGACACGTTGATGGGAAAAACTGCAACTTAGCACACTGTGCTCTTATGCTTTTCAAGAAAAATTGGTCACACGAGCTCAGCATGTCTCTCATCAAATGAAAATGAACCTGGGCGTGTATGCGGTGAATTCCCGACGAAGCGAGGTCGCCACAAAAATGCATTATTTCTGGTTTCGGTCTGCCTCACCTTGCCTCTTAAGCGGCCGGATCACGCAGAGTGCGCTGATCCAGTCCGGAGCCACCTTGGAGGTCAGTGTGAAGAGCAGCTCCAGGCTGGTCGCGTCGAAGATGTGAACATCCGGGTAGTACCCGTGACAGATGATGCGCGACTCCCGGCTGGTGCCCTTGGTAGCCTGATAAGTCTACAAGGGAAGACAATACAATTGATTCCCTGGTTACCAGTGAAAATAACTGCCACAAAAACCAGACTTAAGTTTGTGTCTCTATTTTTCCAGATTCTCACACTGCTTTTGTTTGTAGTGCTCCAAATGATTTATTAGAACATTTAACAACTGCACTGTTGACAGATTGTGAAATTGGTACGGTTCTGATTTCACCAGCAAATTCAGAAAACAAACATATCACTTGGATGCGCTATCATTTTGATTCATTTTTTTGCTTTAGTATTCATTGTAAATTTTTTTTACATTTTACAAAATTATGAATTTTTTACAAAATTATGAAGTGCAATGCTAGAACTATCTTTGATACCAAAACTTAAAAAAGCTTTCTTCAATTGACTACAACCCAGATTAGAAATGCTGGGTCGCAAATCAAATTGCAAATCGAAATTGCAGCTGTGATAAATACAGCCGGGCCTACCAGCCAACCTGAGCTCTGTGTAACTGTTTCTTGGTCACTGTTTACTCACATGCATGACGGTGGGCACGCCGCGGACTTTGGTCACCTCGATACAACGGCCGTCGCTCACGTCCCAAAGGCACAGCTCACTGTAGACATCAACAGGTCAGACACAAGAAAGTCAAAGGTCAAGTCAAAGTTCACAGTTCACCAATGCTTTAAACTTCATACAAGGAAGATTGAAAATCTAGAACTAGCCATACTTTGAAGATAACGGCAAACAAGCATTTTTTTCTACCCGTTTTCAGCAGCACTGATGAAGGTTGACGACTCCCAAGACTCACTGGCCCTCGCCAGACAGGTGATGGCAGCAGAGTGGCCTAGTAGCATGTTACGAGGAACAACCTGTCATGAATGAAAAGCCTGATAATCAGAAACACTTATAACATCAGGCCACAAACCAAATCACATTTCCTTCGTATTCTGATAAACACTTCTAAAGAGCGTATGTACGCAATTACCTTTATTCTGAACAACGTTTACCTATTATCCTCTCAGCAGTGATCTGGGCAAAGCCAAGTACAGCTCTTCAAAGCCGATCAACCCTAAAGTCAGCACCTCACACCCCAGGATGGCAGACTAAAGAACACATTACCCTACTCTGAGGTTGACAATTCATCACTAGCTTAAAAGGGTTGATCACCGTGTGACTACAGAATAAAGGTGCGGTGCTAGGCAATGTTACGTGCAGTATAGTTCTTTCACTTTCTCTGCGTAAGATTTTTCTGCAGTTAAGTCGACAAGTTCATGAAAGACAGTAGCCAAAATAGCCACTGTCCATGCACGGCCTAAGGATTTCTTTTCTGAAATGTTTTGACACAGCAATTTCTACAGTTGTGGAGTTTGAAAAGCAATATACATCCATACATCTACACATCTGAACATGGTGGCTCGGAGAATATTTACTGTTGAGACCACAATTTCCAAGATTGACTCTGTCTGGAAATTGTGGAGTCTTCCGATCCTCACTAACGGCCGCATAGCGGCTCAAAGGTCATCAAGTGCAGTACCTGCATACTCTCGTTGAGATCCCACAAGCAGATCTGGCCGTCATGGCAACCCGTTATGATGGTCCTCTGGTCCGTGGTGATCAGCACTGCCGAGACGCAATGTGTGGGAGCGTTACTGCCCCACAATACCACTGGGATGACCAGGCCACTGGACGCCATGATACACCTGGGATGACCGCTGATTCCTTGGGTAGATGTGGTGATTAGGTGGACGTATCAAAAGAGAATTCTGTCGAGGAAAAACAAAAAATGTTGAACATGGAACGACCGAATGGCCAGTGTTGCGGCTATCGACTAGACAATGCAAGTCACAGCAAAAAAAATCCCTACACAAATTGGCACGAAGAGGTCACAAGAGGGAACAACGATCATCTCATTACCTGATGTCATTGACCTCAATGTCTAAGGCAGTTTTCATGAATGAAAATGCTCGCGTATGCACTCACGCTTGACATCGGTGCCTCGATTCAGTTCTGTTCTGATAGAGCTGGCGACAAGCTTCGTACAATTCTTTGATGTGAAACTGAGGACCGACACCTTGCTTATTCCCTGGTGGCGAGGTAACTTTGCTAAGTTATATTTTGAATGCTATTTATGTACGAAACCGCACCACTGACTGAGCATGTATGGGATGAATTCGGGAATCGTTGGTAGTACGTTTCATAGACATGAGACAAGAGTGATGAGTGTACCGCATGAATATGCAAATATCGATATGGGATTTTGATGCGCCCTACAAGCGTGGTCATATGCACGTATGTGCGTGTGTGTAGATCGACACGCAGTGGTTATTGACTTGCTCAAACTGCTCCAGCAGTATGTGTGCAGTGCGTCCATGAGTGCAGACGACGAGCTTGCGAGTGATTTCCATGTGGTCGCTGTGATGTCACCAGCTCAGCAAAGCACATAGAGGACTGAGCCAACCAATGAGCGTCGCTCTAGTGCCGGTCCTATCTGTGTTACAGTACCAACGGGGAAATTTTCACTGTACAAGTAGGAGCTGCTGCCACAAATTTAAATCTTTTAACCCTAACAGTTCTACACAAAATTTGGGTTGCAGTACTCAGTACTTCAAAATACTAAGCAGTAGTCTGAGCCTGAAGGACCTAGCACTACAAATTGACTACTTCTGGTTGGGGCACCCTCTATTGTTACTTATACAAAGAACAATAAAGCCATGCATTCATAGTGCCAGAGCACTGTATGGTACATTGTCTTATCTACTGTATTTTACGGCTTCAGAGAACAATAAGGTCATGTCCTCTTACAAGCAACAGCACTGAATACTTAATTTTACCATGCCTACCTAGGTTTGTAGTATTTAAGGCTGTGTTAGGCTGCCGTGTTTGGGTTAATATTTCCCCCAAACTGCTCAAGATCTCATGCATATGCAGTAATGCCACCAGATATGGAGCTTAATTAACTGATGAAAACTGAAGGCTCGGTAGGTTCTGGATACACTGGCACGCACTCCAAAAACAATACGAGAATGATAAGAGTTTCAACATCACGTTTGAACGTTCAATTACTAGTACTTTAGTTGGCCCACTAGTACTAGCCTTTGCCATTTTATGGCTCTAGCCATGTCAGTACATAAAACAATGAACACAACAGTCATTAACCCAGGAATAACCTTGATTGTAACTACCTTATAAGGAACAAGGGATGCTTACTCATTCATTACCATTTGGCATGTTTGGCATTGGTGGGTGTGACGTTAACTTTAGCTTTGCATTTGCAAGCATGGTTAGTTTCAGTGTCACGCCCACAACCTGAGAATTGGACCAATTTAAGTCATCAACAAATATGATAAAAACTTACATTTTGCAATTCATGAACTTCAGAAAGTCAGCCCAAGGCTGAATTCAGGTTGTCGCAGCGAAATGTGGCAGACTTCGCAACATTTTCACAGGATTTTCATGATTTTGCCAGTGATGTTTCAAGCCGTAAAATTTCAGCCAGCTGTACGGGAGAATTTCTTTAGTCTTGTCTCTGTGTTTCTCAGCGTTTGCATAAATACTCTGAAATCCTGAGACGGTGGCACCATACTATTGAAGCCTATCTGAATAATTGTCACCAACAGAGGGCGCACTTGCAGCTGAACGATGAGAAATTTCCATATGCATGCAAGTGTGATGTTCATGTGAGCACATATCGTCAGCTAACTGGATTCAACCATGATTCAACTTAATTAAGATTGAAGATGTAGATGGGGCCCAAACGTGAGTAAGAAACTAGGATCTAAGCATGCATATATGAAAGTGGTGTGAATTTTTTCTCTGAGGTAGCTTTGGAGCAGTTTAGTGGTTAAAACTTGTCTCTTCCTTTTAATAGTAAAATAGGCCTACTGTCCAGACTACTGAGGTTAGCATGATTAGGACCGAAATGCTTGCCATGATGAGGACGTGAACAGGTGAAGTGTCTTCGGCCAGGCTTGATTATATGCCCATGTACCCCCAGAACTGTGGGGTCCGACGTCCGCCCCGCTCCCATGAAAGGAGCGGATGTCGGACCCCACAGTTCTGGGGGTATACCGATAGCCCACGTCTGCGGATGGCATACATCATAACCCTGAAAGTTTACTCCCTTGTACATAGCATAGTTTGTCCTTTGGGGCTGGGATTCCAAGCACCACTGTTACAGTCAGAATGCTTGTGTGACTCATGCAGCCCTTACCACTTTTGATATAAATTTGCCTGCATTCCTTTGACTAACCTCAACCCCCAGCCATTAGTGTCCCGAGGGAGGGGACGGGGGAAGGGGTGCTTCCTCCTCCCTTCCCTTCCACCTGGCAAAGAAAAATTACAAAAGAAAAGAAAGGACTTCCAGAATTTTTAAAAACACAAGGCCACTTTCATCTGTTTGCAGAATAATGAATGCGGTAATAGCATCATCACCATAGCTCCTCCCACTGTGGAACTTTCCACCAATCAGAGCCAGTCATGAAGGATAGCCTGACGACCAGACAGTGGGTGGCCCTTGGCATCACCATCCCAGCGTCCATATTTCTCCTTTACCTTCTCTTCAAGAAAAGGGATGAAGGTAAGATGTTTGCCTAGATGTTAGCTTGGGGAATTATTGCTGTAAAGTCATGTGGAAAAATCTCAAATAGGAACTTCATCATGGACCTAGTAAATACATCTTTTAAAGCCAGGTTTTTTAAAAATGAAGACGTCATCAAAGATTAACCTCTTTCTAAATATGTGTATCAAGGCCTCTACCTTTTAAGCGTTGTGTATTTCAGATAATGCAAGTGGCATTTAACAACTTACAGCTGTGTTCGATTTCTTCTTCAAATGTTTGTGTTTATTTCAAAATGTTTAAAACGCAGAAACTGATTTCATAAACATCTTGATTTTTTTTCAGAGGAAGATTATCGGCCTTCCAAAGATCTTGCCACTGGTCAGCAGCTGACCATAGAACTGAGGGTGCCATACGACAAAGTAGGAGCAATCATCGGTCAACAAGGTGTAACTATTAAAAAGGTAAAACAATGCATGCAGTTTTCATTTTTTGAGTTTCACAATGATGGAATTTTCAAAACACCTTCCACAACTGTAGCCTTCTTGCAGTTGGTTTTTAAGCATTTTTTTCCTCTTTTTTTCTATTTGTGTGTATAATGCCAAATTTTTGGAAAATGAACTTCTTCAGAATTTATTTAGTGTATTCTTGATTGGTTTGCCATCATTTCACAAAATCGCCCAAGTAGGATAAAGATGCATACCGTGGTATCATTTGCCCTGTGCCCTATCAAGTCAAGGAGGTTTTGACCTTCGCATTGACTCTCAAACCACATTGGCGCCAAGTGTCAACCATGCTAAGATACGTCCTCATGGTTTGGTTTATCGGTAAGGCTTGAATTAACCATTACATTTCCCCAGCAAGTTTATTTTGCTGTGATATTAAACCTGCATAGCATGCGTTACATGGCCAAAGGTGTAAGATGATCATAATTTAGTTACCAGTTGGAGCCAACAGAAAGGTTAAGGGTTAGGATTTCTGTTGTATGGGATAACTGAGGAAAGATGGTGTGATCGGCAGTAATAATCAGTCATAATTGCGACAATTTTTAGTTTCTTCACCTTCTTTTGGAAGACTTGTTTGTTGCACACTTTGACTGGTATTGTCTTTCATAGAGTCTAATTTTCAAGAGTTGTTTGTTTGGATTGTGTCGCTTCAGATCCAGGATGAGACGTCTTGCCGAGTGAAATTTCAGAGTGAGACAGGACTAGAGGAGAAGGAGGACCGGCTGCTGGTGAGCTGTTAAGGGGCACTCCGGGAGTGGATGCTTAAAGGGGCACTCTGGGAGTGGATGCTTAAAGGGGTAATCCGGGAGTGGATGCTTAAAGGGGCACTCTGGGAGTGGATGCTTAAAGGGGCACTCCGGGAGTGGATGCTTAAAGGGGTACTCCGGGAGTGGATGCTTAAAGGGGCACTCTGGGAGTGGATGCTTAAAGGGGCACTCTGGGAGTGGATGCTTAAAGGGGCACTCTGGGAGTGGATGCTTAAAGGGGCACTCTGGGAGTGGATGCTTAAAGGGGCACTCTGGGAGTGGATGCTTAAAGGGGCACTCTGGGAGTGGATGCTTAAAGGGGCACTCTGGGAGTGGATGCTTAAAAGGGGCACTCTAGGAATTGACACTGAAAGGGGTGGTTCAAAGACACTCAAAGTGGTACTGCAAAAATGAATGCTTGAGGGACACTTAAAGGAGCACTCCGAAATGGATGTTGTATAAGAACTTTTGACATGGATTCTTTTAAGGGTTGTCGCTAAATGGACACTTAAAGGGACAGTCAGAGAATGCATGTATACAGGGGCCCTCAAGCGCTAGATGCTTCAAGTGACACTCTAGGAATTGACTGTTAAAGGGGCACACTGACTCGGTATCTTTAAGGGAGCCCTATTGCCAATGGTGTTGCCAGATATGGTGCTTAAAGGGGGAATCAAGCCTTGGTTTATTAAGAAATGCCTCTAAACCTTAATTGAGGGACACGCATGCTATGGGAAGCTGGAGGAGCTGTCCTTCCACGAGCACTGATGTCAGCCTTGTTATTGAGACCAAAGAGCAGTTTAGCCACAGAGGTCCTGGTGTAAATTGAACCCAGAATTTTTGCTTGGCCCAGGTGATCCGAGGCAAGCCAGACAATGCCCTGCAGGCTGAGCAGCGAGTGCGGAAGATCCTTGCCGAGCCCAATGCCGTACAGACACTAGAGTTGAAGATCCCTCAGTGGGCCATTGGCAGGATCATCGGTGAGATCCAGACTCGGTTTTGACTCGAACCAAGACTCATACTCATGTCCTTATGTTAGTTATCTGTGACTTGGTTTTGAAGGCCATATAATTTGTGTTAAAGTAAGGGACTAGGCTTGAGAATTTCCTGAGACCAGGAGTCAAAAAGCCAATCGGAGCCTAGCTCGGAAATACCGTCGGCATTTATCGGTTTATTGATTTGCCAATTATGATGAAATCTGTTACAGGTCGTAATGGGGATAACATCCGCCAGATTTGCCGCACCAGCAAGGCCAGGGTGCGCATCGAGAGGGATGATGACAGACGAGATCCCCACGCTCTGCGGGAATGCATCATTAAGGGAACACACGAACAAATACGATATGCAAAGGTTTGGGTTAACAGACCTTAAAAGTGCAGGCCAGTGTTGAGATTGCAGCTCCCTATATTCCGATCTTGGTTGTTGAGATAATTGTGAAAAGGCTCCCCACAAAAGATGGTGTTCCTGCCCTCTAGCAGTGCCCTGTAATAAGTGGCCTGAAGTTGTATAGATACGTGTCAAAAGGACAGTCTTTACTTCTTTTATTGTCAGAGGAGCTGGCAACTGTAGAAGGTTGTCACATGATCATGTAAGCTTGTGGTCAGCAGAGGGCACTGTGAGTCCACTCAATTGGTCCTTGCATTCAAGACCCTGTCAGGTGGTCCCTTTTAATAAGCTCTGCACATTGCTTATAGGGAACAGCTCGTGGTCCTCTTCACTACAATTCTACTACAATGGATGTTTCAGATTGTAGGTGAAGGCATACTCGTCCGGCTTTTGTTGTATATTTTGTGTGGCGCAGTCTTGGCTCTGATTGGTCAAAACATCATGCCGGCCCGAGAGACTGTCCTATTGGCCAACTTAAATCAGTCTCGGCCTTAACCGCTGTTGATAAAAACATGCCTGATGTTAGACCCAAAGTTTCTTGGCAGCAACATCATCGCTACGGTAACCTCTTGTTTTTTTTTCTAGGGATTGATAGACGAGGAAATTGCCCAAGAAGAGGAATACAGACGGAAACTGGAGAATGCCTCAGCCAATAGGAAACAACGAGGCTCCAAAACATCGAGAGACGTGATGCCTCGAGACCAGAGACAAGCTGTGGACACAGCGACCGCCGACAATCATACCAAAGGTTGAGAAACTGCCGCTAACAGATTTGAATCACTTGACGATATGAGTAGGTTTGAGGTTGTAACAAGCAGTTGAAATATGGTGCCGCTGCAGACCGAGGCCCCGTCCTGTTTACCTGACTGTGGCTGGAAATGGCATGCACATCTGTGAGAGAAGTGCAAAGCCACTAGTTAGTGGCCTCTATAGGTTTACATGCTATTTTGAGCCATAGCCAAGCAGTTGGCCATAGCCTTACTTGTGTTGCGCTTCAATGCTTCAATCTGACGTGAATCAGATGAATTGCTTTTTCTCATTTTTCTCATCATCGTAGATCCATTCTGCTCAAAGTGTTGACGGAATTCAACCAAAAACCCTCAATTCCTTGAGAACCTCCTTGTTTCAAGTTCCAACTATGAAGATCCTAAACCCTAGATCTACTATATGTGAAATGTATTGAAATTGAAGGATTCAGAGAGAGAGCTCTTTCAGTGACCTGAAGTATATCTCTCCTTGTCTAATCTCTCTGTGCATCTCTCTTTATTTTGCCAGATGATTCCGATGCAGTTGAGCACATTGTGCAGATGCCAACCCACGACGACTATTTCAGCGTCTACGTGTCGGCCGTCGAGCACATGGGTCACTTCTGGCTGCAAGTGCTCGGCCCCAAGGCTGGTACACTGGACCTGATGATACAGAATATGACCGAGTACTACGCCGTGGAGAGTAACCAAAAGGTTGGTGTGTAAATGGATGATGGGATTGATGGTCAGAGTTGGACCAGGATTTTAAATTTGCTGTTCCACGCCAGTAATTTTTGTCATAGTCTGGTGCCCAAGTGGGCTCTGTAATTGGTCCAGGCAACAGTCTCCCTCTGCGCAACTCCTGTGCTTATTTACACAGTTATAAAATAGATTGTTTGAAATTTTCCAAACTAACGTTGGATTAGTCTATAAATACGAGGCCTCCACTTCGGCCATCTTGAGCATTAAAATTTGTTGTTCCTTAATAGCTGTCCAAGCCGGATACCCTGTGCACCGGCGACATCGTTGCAGCACCGTTCCAGGGTGACGAGTCTTGGTACCGGGCCCGCATCCTGGAGTTCCTGGAGGATGGTCAAGTGGACCTGTACTACGTTGACTTCGGAGATAGCGACAAAATGCCCAGGGACAGTATTTGCAGCTTGAGGTAATAAGCCTTTAGTGAGTTAAATTTGAATAAAATCTGGTACAATGAGTTATCTGGTTGCACAGAAACGCAACAATTTGAATTCCCCAGACTAAAGACACTGTTGCTTTACCCTGTGATTCAGGGCAAGCTTTTGCATAGCGACCACCATATCTGGAATGGACTGGTTCCTTTGTGCCTTTCTTGTCCGTTAAAAACAGTTTATTGGTGCAAGGCATCGCTTATGTAATTAAGCAAAAGCTGGCCCCAAATCACGAGGTGTAGCAGCAGTGTCTTTAGTACGGAGAATGCAAATCATTATGTGAACGTGAATTTAAAGAACTCAGCGTACTAGATTTATTCAAATTTAACCTGTTAAAAAAAAAAAACTGGAAGTAGCCTCAGACCGTTGGGCTGTGTGGCAGGAATTGGCACAGTGCCAAAGTAGAGTACAAACTGTACAATGTCTCTCTCAGGTTGTATTGTTTGATTGGCAAAATGCCAAAATTTAGAGCTTGCTTAACTCATTTGCCACTGCGTTGCCATGGTAACTTAATTTGTCAACACATGAATTGTTCATGATAGCACCTCATTATTCAGATATTGTCCAACCACAGTTGCTATTTTTTTTAAGACCATGCAGAAAGAGGCCTATATTCAGCGACCTTCAAGTGGGGTGTGAGATGTGCTGACTGGCTTAATATTTAGCGATATCTATAAGACTTAACTCCATCGGGGGGGCATTTGAAAGCACTGATAACGACATACAATCCAAACAAGAAGTTTTCCTCACAGACGCCGAGGAATAGTGCTAAAGGTTATCTGGCGAGATGCCAAGCAAATGTCAAAAGTACAGTTTTAAGTTTTGTTGCATGGAGTTGATTTGATATGAAGCAGATGTGTAATATCAGCCACTATTTTAAAGCAAACAGTGAAATCTCAATTATCTATAAGATGTTGCATACATGGAGTTGGTTCTTCCTTAAGAATGAATTGATTGCCTTGTTTTACAGGAGTGATTTTCTTAGTCTTCCGTATCAGGCAGTGGAGTGCAGTTTAGCTGGTATCCAGCCAGACGGTAAGCGTAGTGCATTGCCTGTCTTTCCTGTTTGGCTCGTAGCTTTCACACGGCACTAGCAGCTGCAGTGTCCGTGTGTATTAAAACGTTAGAACCAACCACAGGTCAAGATGTGTCAGCATGCCCCCCCCCAGTCATAAGAGCACCAAATGACGGTGAGTAGGCATTTGTGGTCACTCAGTGAAAGCTCACCTAGTATCTTGGGGGGTCAAGTGGAATCAACTGCATGCTAATACTTGTAAACTTTCGCATCATTAACTTGCAGTTGAGTAGTCAATGCTAAAGTACTGAAGAACCCATCCAGAGAAGACATGGCAAAAACGGTTGAGCTGAAGGGCACGGAGAATAATTTAATGGAAAAAAATCTGATGGTTGAGCAGAGAAACAAAGGAATTTCAGGCCTAGATAGGATCTAAAACAAGGCACTTCACACAGTGTGCCCAAAGTACCAATCTTACTTCAGTTTGAGTGCTTTGTTTTTTCTGTTCTCCTTACTTTTTTTTGTTTGACCAGGGTCTTGTTGGTCAGAGGAGGCGATTGATCTTTTTGAGGATCTGACGTACTGTGCTAAGTGGAAACCCCTGATGGCGCGGATTGTAAGCTACCAACAGACCAGCACCGGGACACTACCGTGCATTGAACTCGTCGATACCACAGGGACAGAGGTATGGATATCCTCATTGATCAGAAACAGTGAACAAGTTTAAAAAAAAACGAGATGCTAATTTCAAAGAGGATGTATAACTGGAAAATTGGTCCAGCATAGATATTTAAATTGAGTTTCTCCAACAGAAGGTTGCATAAAACTTCTGAACCCAGGATTGGAGAAAAATGACCATAGATGCTTAGTTATAAAATGGAACATTTCTAGGAGACTTACTTGTAGTAATTGGTCAAACTTTTTGGACTTTGTAGGATGTAAATATTGCAAGCACCCTTGTAGAGAGAGGCTATGCAAGATTTTCAAACTTCAGCAGCTCAGATGCGTCAAATCAGGGCCCCAACATAGCCAATGGATCATCCCGTCTACCAGGGGAAACATTGACTGTTCCACCAGATTCGGGGGAGAGTGAAGGAGAGGAGGGGGAGTTTACCAAAGAGGTTTCCGTAACAGGCTGATGTGGAGGGGTGCTGTTATTTTTAGTTTAATCAACTTCTTTTTTCTTTTAATAATTCTTAAAAATGTTTTCTTTGGGTCTTTGGGAATAATAATAAAATTAACTGTTTGGGGGAAAGTTCCACGCTGGTTCAACCCACTACTTATCTTTTGCAGGCTGTATTGTACAAATATTGACTGCTTTGAGCAGGAATATATAATGCTCCTTGGAACACCTTGTGAAGCTAGTTTGACCTCACCACAAGATAAAGAAGTCAATATTGTTTGGTAACACCCTTGCCTTAGATTCTGCTTGATCTATGCGATAACTGACCAACTTGATCCAGATGCATATGAAAGGGGTGTCTATTTAAACAAGGAAGTTGTCGAATATTTTACCAGCACTTTTCCCAACTACCTCCCCATGTCAGGTCTGAACCCAGCTCTGTAGTGCAAACACTCCAGAATGCACGTAATGCACACACCAGCATGTATTTGCACACAATAGCAGTGGTCATGTTTACTGCACTTGAGTTGCTACGGGTACAAGTCTGTCAGCTGTGTGCAGGGAAACACCAAAACTAGCGACTGCCGCGTGACTAGCTCTCGCCCACTCAAGAGACAGAGTCTGTGGGGGAAGTGTGATAACTACAAGTACCACTTCACTTGTTTCATTTGACAAAGTTTGCCTGAAATGATCCAGACTTCCTTGTATATATTATATCCGCTGAGTCTAGATGCACCTATCGTCGGCTAAGACGTGGGAGATTGGTAGGGGGAATTTTAGGTAGGTGCGTATTGCAAATGCAAAGACTGTACGTGGCTGCAGAAAGTGGCTGTTGTTGCTTAGCGTATCCCTTGCCAAGTGCGCTTATCATACACACGGTGTGTCCACCACCAAACGGGGCATCGTTACTTTGTAACAAGATGCCATTGTTTGTTCTGTGTCAACCCTTCGCACGGGGCAGACACTTCATCTAATCGTCGACTTAATGCTGTTACAGGGTTCTCAATAACATAGCACCTTTCTCCTTAGCGAATTGTGTGGAAAGAAAGTGGTTTTGCTCATGATATATTGGTATAAATGCAATGCAGGTCACTCACAGTGGGCCTGGTTGTTGTAGGACTTATTTGTCCATTTTGATCAGAGCGTAATGTTGCTTATCTAACAATATTGCTTATTGAATGAATGGTCAACACGATTTGCATGCATTTTGAAGACCGATTTTTTTTTGAATGCTGCAACTGCTTTTCCTGATATATTCACCCGTTTTTCATATTGTGTGAGTGTTTTGTTTTTCTGATCTCAGAGAGACAGATACTTGTTCATCACATTATGCAATAATCATTTCACTTATTGTTTCGGGAAGATGTATTTTAAATTTATGTTACATCAGTGAAGAAGAAATTTAATTGTTACTTGGTTTTTGTACTTTTGTCTCAAGACAGTGACAGCTATACCTCGTCAGTTGGCCTTCAGGCAACAAAATCTGATCTTATTTTTTCGAAAGATTTTGATGGAATTAGGACCCAAGCATTGGCCCAGTAGTGATTGTGTGGGGCTTGATAAGTGCTTACTGGCTCGACTATACACTAGCAGATTTTGAAGGGTTAAGGTGCTATCTAGCAAAACTTTGCAGATAACAAAAGTCACATTATGAGTAGTTGAATGCTAGTGCTTGTATCCATCCTGAAAAATGCAAGCGAGTCCCAGTTGCTGAAAGCTGGTGTTAAGAAAGAAAAAAAAAATATCAGAGGGATATTTGGGGAAAGAAATACTCTTTACTGTGGTTGGCAGATGTTAATGAGTTCTTGAACTTTGACCCTGCAACTTGTGGAATGGAGTAGGTTGTTCCTGGTTTATAACTAGATGTCATGTACATACTTGTCCACCCAAAACCCAGTTTTATGAAGTCTACTCGTGACTTGTGATTCCATTTTTTTGTAGATTTTATTTCCTCGAAATGTCTATAGTTAAGCGTGTTGAAATTGGTAGGAAATGTATGACCAATTTAGAAAATTTTGCAATGATTAACGCCACTCAAAACATCTAGACAAACAGCCGCGTATGAACTTCAATGTGAACAGTATTTGTAGGACCTTGGTTATCTCTGTCTCGATGTTTGTCGCTGCATTGAAAATTGAACAAACAAGTTTGAACTTTTGGTAACTCTGGAAGTAACTTTGAGCTCAGGATTAAAAAGTAAAGTCCAATTCTGGCTTTGGGCATAGTTGCCTCTCTGAGAGGGCAATTCAAGAAATCCAATTAATCCTGATTCTGCTGAACCAAGCTGTCTGGAGATCTTTTTTGGGGGGGGGTATCATTTTCACAACATTCAATTACAAATGACCAATCAAACTTCAGCAATATTTTTGCTGACCAGACATGTGAACTCTGTTTTTTTTCCTTAAAATCAAAAGTCAAGACAAAGTAGCAAGTTTCCCAATGTACTTGGGGGAGGAAAATAAAGTTAAAATGCAAGATGAGTCAAATAAAAAATTCTTTTTTATTGTCTAACTCTGACAAGCCTAAAATATTTCATTAAACTCCCAAGTACTAAGATTACACCAAACCTTGATAACTCAAAAATATACAGCTGCTCATGGGCGTACGTAGCTAGGATAAACTCTGTATTCACCCTTCCAGTGGAGACACATATAATGAAAGTTGGCCCCTGCTCTCACTAAAAACCAGACGGCCTATTACTTGTAACGTGCAAAAAGGAAGTTACTGTTCGCCATGTTTCCATTCCACAAACAAGGCTTGTTTTGAATGATGGGAGTGGTTGAGATTGGTCCCCTCCACACATTTTAATTCAGGGATCAGGAACCAGTCCATGGCAAGTTTTTTTTATTAATTTTATTTTATATTGAAATCACCAGTAACGTGGAACTGGGAAAGGTAAGCCGGTTCCTGGCCCCAAAGCTACATACCGGTATCTGAGAGTCTAAAAGGAGAGGGGTGGGAACCAGTTGTGCAGTGACTAGTACATGCATGCATCTCCCTGGTTTGCATGAACAATCACATTACCAGTTTGCATTGAGTTTTTTGGAACCCATATACCAGGAAGAATCCTATATAGAAAGTACTGCTTACAGCATTGTCAAGGGGATGTTGTTGGAAACCGGTGAACATTACCAACCATGCCTTATCTATACCTACAAGGATTCCAATGTCTCAGGACCTATACAGCTAATTAATTTTACAAAGAAAAAACAGCTCATTAAACTTGACTCACAAAAAGATCTTGCAAAAATTTACGTTCCTATCCTACAAGAGGCACTCAAATGTTTAGAACATTTTCATGCATGACAAAGTGTATTAAAAATGATAAATGTAAATTTATACACCAGTTTAATTAACACTATGCATAGAAATATTTAATTCCCTCAAAAGAACAAGAAAAACTACACCCCTATAATAGAATAGACTGGTACATGTACATGATAGGTACTGAATAATCACTCTCATAAATACTTTTCCTCTCAAACTGTCAGTGGTATCTCAAACTGTTATGCATAACTCCTTGTGTAGCACAGTCCATGGAAAACATGCGAAGAACAATCAGCCTTTTGCAAGTTAAATTTTAATAAAATCTGGTGCACTGAGTTCTTTAAATTCACTTGAACAGAACAATTTGAATTCTCCAAACTAAAACCACTGTTGCTATACCTCGTGATTCAGGGCAAACTTTTGCTTAGTTACAAAAGAGACGCCTTGCAACAATACACTGTTTTCAATGGATAAGAAGGGCACAAAGGAACCAGTCTATTCCAGAGATGGTGGTCGCTATGCAAAAGCTTGCCCCGAATCACGAGGTATGGCAACAGTGTCTTTAGACTGGGAAATTCGAATTATGTTCTTGTGCAATCAGGTAATTCAGTGTGCCAGATTTTATTCAAATTTAACTTGTAAACTGATGTGGATATACATGCATGCACTTCACACTCAAAAGTGTGATTTCGAGATTTCGGTTTTTCACAGTCGGCCACTTCAGCATGTTTGTGATCTACAATTCAGAGGAAAACATTAATAAATATTTGACAGGGATTGTCAATGTGTATGCTTGTTAAACTGGAAATCACTCTTAGGAGATAAAAATGGTTTCATTTTGTGAAAACAATTATAATCAATTGCAACAGTTATGTATGTGTTAGTCTGTGAAAACGAAGTTTGTGTGCACGCAAGGCATGCAAGGCTCTGCATTAGTTTGTGACAACGGTAACCACAACGGTGAAATTCATCATAAAATAAGCCATTCTGGTATTTCAAAAAGCCAAGGTCTTTCAGGAACAAAGCAATGGTCGCCCTTACCAAAAAAAAACACCGAAAGGCACTACCCAACTAGATTCGCAAAAGAGCTTGGATTGTTTCATGGACAAAAGAAGGCATGGGTCAGTTTAGACACTTTGAATTTTATTCCAAGTTTTCAAATCTGACGCACCTGCTATTTCAGAAGACATCTGCGAATACTGAATGCACGTGCACAAAAGGACGAGAACTCAGTCAGTGTGCTCCACACAGCACAAGTGAAGAGTGCATACTTTATTCAGAGTTCAGGTCGTGAAAGTCCTATGGTTAAAACAATTTCTGTGTAACTGTGTAACAGCTTCATGAAGCTGTCTGGTGTATCATTGGGTCTTAAGCTTGCACGGAGGTGTTCTCAACCAGGTTGATCTCATCATGCGGCTTGCGGGATCGCCGACGGTACCACACCAGCGCCAAGACAACCGCGATAACCACGACGACAGCGACCACGCCCACAACTGCACCAATGATTGCTGTAAGCAGGTGGACACACAATACGCCAAAGGTGAATTCATGCCCGTTGGTTCACGTGAAATTCAAAACCATACTACCAATTCGAATGGGTGGATTTGCACCGTATGGAAATTAGGCTCCTTTTGTTTCACCTCAAAGAAAGAGTCTAGAATAAAGGAACGCCCTGGAAAAAGGCAAGACTTGATTGAAAACAACGCTGTGTTCAGAATTCATTCGCAAGGCTTCTAACCATGAAGATATTCATGTTACAGGAGCAAGGTAATGTTTCCCCTCTCCTCAGGAGTCAATCTACTGTCTTGGTACCAAGTGCTTGTGTTTAGTCTTTGGGAGAGTTTATATTGAAGGTACACCAGGGGACACAATGCCCTCTCTCCCTGATGGTATAGTCAAACACGACTGAATGTGTGGGTAGGCCTTTACCCCGTTGGGGGGAACATTTCTTTCCCTAGGAAAGTCGGGACGGAGTTGTGGGGGTACAATTTGTTCCCATAATAGTTTGGCCCCACAGCATGTTTCAATTCTGGTGTAGTGCCCACAACGAGAAAAATTATGTATGCGTACATGCACAGTTAAATTGTGAAAAAAGCCAGAATATAGTATCCATGACCTATACATTTGATTAAACTCACCGGCACTCGTCTTGGATTGTGGCGAATTGTCTGGCTTGCCATCATCCCCAGGTCTGCCTGTTGGGGACTTGGAAGGTTCCTGGGTCATGGGACCTGACGGATTCTGGGTGCTTTGTGGACCTGAGTGACAATACGTGCATACATGTTAACTTGGAAGATAAAAGTTGATGAGTCGATATGACTGCATATTTTCTTTGTGGAAAAATGAACTCAAGTTCATTTTACAAGGTGCAAAAAAGGAACGCAGCATGACAGACGGTATGCAGGTTGATGGTTCCCATTTGTACACGATTGTCCAAATTCAGCTTGCCTGTGGATCATTGGAGTTACAAACACTACAAATCTGTGCTAGGCCGGCTCCATCCCTAGGTGTCTTTTCAGTCCCCAAGTTGGTTTGACTCAAAACCACCTCAACTAAGGACAATGTCATGGTCATATAATGGAGCACACGTAGGGACATGCCATGGCCCTGGGGTTCATGACTTCGTGGCCTCGGCAGTCCAAATTTTGGGTGAATTTTGTGAGGTGACAGAAATTGTGAGTTCTGTTTCAAGATGATCAGTACCTGGTGGTACTGGTGATCTGAAGTAGTAACATCTGGTCTAGGAACAGTTGAAGCTTAAGGGAATAAAAATTGATGTCACGAATAGTAATTGACAATACTGGTGCATAATAATTAATTACTGGTACATATACCCACTCATTACAAGCGCCATATGGGTCATGGGCGACGTGACAGTTTGCACACGGCAGTCGGCCCAACAATTCCCACTAGTTCCAACATTGATATCAAGAACGTAAACTCCAGCCCCCCGAGACTCCTACCCCAGAGCTATTTTGACAAGGAACTTAGTAGTGTCGAATTGAAGCATTACTCTTTTGCTGTTGGGAGATATTCGCAGCCTGCTTTGACTTACGGCAAGGCTGAACAGGAATGATGCGATCTTGCACCAGGGGGACGGCGATGATTCCATCAGATGTGGGCAACTTCAGTGCCACTGCCAACTCGACAGCTTCGCTGCTTCGTCTCATGACAAAAAATTTTAGCTCTCCATCCTGAACAATATGATCTGCAATCAAAGCCCATAACATTATATCAAAATATATAACACAACCCCCCCCCAAAAAAAACCCCTGAAATATCAAACCAGACAGTAAATGCTCTTCCACTTTGGTCGGAGAAGAAAAAGAATGACCAGAATTTTCCTTGGACCAATAACAAGCTTCCAAATTCTGTGAAATGTACCAAATTGTCAATTTCAGTGAGCAAAATGCACAATTAAAATGATATGAATAGTTCAATCTCTGTCCAAAGAGTCATCCATTAACGTCCCCCCCCAAGAACACATAGTAGTGAATACCTTTGCCGGGTACCGTTCATATGTTATCTGGATTATCATCTCACCGATAGCAACAACAGCAACGTCCGTTATGTTTGTCGCCACATGGTAAACAAAGCTGGGCTCATCGTCGATGCTGAACAAAAGGCGAACTGGAGCCTCACAATGAAACAATGTCAGCTTGAACACAAACAGACGACCCTTTGAAATCGGAGGGAAAAAAACGTTTCAGCAAAACATCAGCGTTATTTGGAATGTATGAATCATAAATAAGTGGAATTGAAAAAAGACAAACTATGACAAACAATAATTAAACTACATTGAAAAATTCTGATCAAGACATTGACA